TTTCCTGATTTACATAAATGACCTCATAGATAAAACAGTAAATCCACTTTATTGCTTTGCAGACGATGGCAATGTAGTCTCCTCACTCATACCACCCACAGGTCTTTCCGCACGTGAATTCCATCATCTTAGACTAACTCAAATAATCGCAGATAAATAACGACCTGGAGATAATAGAGGACTGGGGTAACAAAAACCTTGTACAGTTCAACGCGCAGAAAACCCAAGCAGCTCTGTTTTCAAAAAAGACCAGCACCGGTGAGCCAAACATCATGCTATCTGGAAGTGCTGTCACATTACAGAGTCAGTTGAACATCTTGGGGGTTACTGCAGAGACCAACATGTCTTGGCACAGTCACGTGGCAGATATTGCTAAAAGGGCCTCCCAAAAGCTGGGGGTGCTATTTCGTACAAGACATCTGTACACACCAAGCCAATTGCTGAAACTCTACAAAGCCCAGATTCGACCAACTATGGAGTACTGCTCACATATATGGAGTGCAGCACCCAAACATACCTTAATGCTTTTGAATACCGTGCAAAAACGAGCTATCAAGCTGATCAATGACCCCGCACTTACTCGTAACTTGGATGGTCTCGAACATCGCAGATCTGTGGGCGATTTATCTCTCTTCTACAGGTACTATCACGGAAAATGCTCTGAAGAGTTGGCACGTATGATTCCACCGAGAGTAGCACCTACCAGGCGAACCCGTCAAACAGACGGTAACCATGAATTTACTGTCAAACTAGAGGCACCAAGAACCTCATTATATCAGAATTCATATCTCTGGAGAACAGCATCGCTGTGGAATAAACTCCCTGCGACGGTTTTCCCTGCAGGTTACAACCTGAACCGTTTCAAGACCAACATACACCGACATCTCCGCGCACTTGCCGCTTCTCGAGCGTGATAGGACATTTCCTTGCGAGTGCGCATATCCGTAAAAAAAAAAAAAAAAAAAAAAAAAATTCGTTTATTCTAGACTTGGGGGCATTAATGTTTGCTTAAATTAATTGATAATTTGTTAATTAGATCAAAAGACAGTTTCTTTATCGATGGTTAAGGGATCCTTAACATATTTATTCAAAGTTCTGATTGATGTTTAATTGATCTAATCAACAAAGATAAAAATAGATCTTCCAATCTATAAAGTTTGAAGTTCTTCTTGAAACACACAAAACAACTTTGAAATCACTTAAAAACACTTGACAACACAAAGAAAGATGAAATGCAAGACCGGCGAACAAAAAACATTATGAATTATTAGTTATGATCAAATGAATATTTTGGCATATTGTCATATGTTGACATGTCAATCTCATGTCAATGTTATCGACATCGGACGTGTTCTTGATGTGCTGGTATTTTCCAATAATGACAATTCTGTGGTTGTTAGCGACATCTAGAAAAACGGAAAAGAGTTATTATGTGGTTTATAACTGGCAATGAGAGATCGCAGGGCCTGTCAATGACTTACCCATCGGACTTACTCGTTCCACCGAATTCTCAAATTTTTAACTTTAAAGACAACTGAATTACGCCTTATATAACGAACGATTTCGTTGTCACCCGGTATACCTAGGTAGAGAAGTTGGTCATTATAGCGGGTGCCCACGAAATTACTTTCCGGCTGCCATTTTTTTATTTGTTCATCGATATCAACGAAACTTGGTAGGCTTGATATTCTAACGAAACGCCATTTTTATGCATCCACGACAAGTTTTCCTGACTTCCGGTTTTACCGGAAATTACCGAAACTTTTGATTTTCAAATGGCACACCCTGTATATTTTTTGTTTTTTGGATTCTACAGATCGTTTTACGTCCTAGTGTACCACTTTTAAATCGAGTTTTGTCAAAATTTCGTTTTCAAATAAAATTTTAAGTAGAAAAAAAATAATAATTACCTACATAATAAATCAAAAATGTTTGAACGAAAATTATGAAGTTTACAGCCCTCTATCAAAAAAGTTTTCAAAGATAATTTTAGGATGATCATGGCACTCTAGTTAAAAAATTTAAATTTAATTTAAACACAAAATTTGGAAAAAACTCGATTCAAAAGCGATGCATTAGGACGTAAAACGATCTGTAGAAACCGAAAAACAAAATATATACAGGGTGTGCCATTTAAAATCATAAGTTCCGGTCATTTCCGGTGAAACCCGAAGTCAGAGAAACTTGTCATAAATGCATAAAAATGACATTTGGTTAGAATATCAACCCTACCAAGTTTCGTTGAAATCGATAGATAAATAAAAAAATGGCAGCCGGAAAGTGATCTCGTGGGCACCCGGTATACCGAGCGCTTTTCTAATATATGTGTGAGGTATAGGTATAATGGCTTTCTCTACCGTGGAATATATAGAATTTTTTTTATTACTGCTAGTAGAAATTAAAATAGTTATTTACCTAACAAATGCGGAAAGTGATACTTTACCGCACGCAAGCGGAGTTCGGTCAAGCCGTTAAGGGCGGTAAAGGCACTTTCCGCATGTGTTAGGTACAAAATTTTACCTATGAGCATCTACATCTCCAAAAAAAGGCATTGATAAAATTAATTAATGAATCAGATTAATTAATGAAATTAGATAAGATTTAGAAATGATCAAAAATCCATTTTCTGAAAGAGAGAGGATTTTTTATTATAAATATCAAATTTTACTCTACCGCATACTATGCGGTGAAGTGCACTTTACCGCACACTTTGTATTCTACTTTACCGCATACTATGCTGTAAAGTTAACTTTACCGCACACTATGCGGTAAAGTGATACTTTCCATTTGCAAATAAGTGCGGTAAAGTTCACTTTACCGCACGCTCGTAGGTAAATTTGTTTAAAATCTGTGCTCTTATTATTTTTTTTGAACGTCCTCTTGAAAGTGCTGCCCTCTATCAACAGCTTCTGATAACTTCGTATGTACCTACAGAAACCTGTATTTTTTTTTTAAATCGACGTATCTACAGAAACCTATATTTTTTTTTTTTTAATCGACGTAGAAATTGAAATTGAACCAATAGAAACATGACAACATCCTTGCGTCATGAAGTCATTTTCATTTTTGACCTAGGTATTTTTTCATTATTTTCATTATTCACCTAGGGAGAGAAATTCAATTTTTTCCTATAAAAATAGATTAAATAATGACTATTTCTCAGGTTAGTATTAAAAAATAGTATATTATATACCTAGGTAGAGAAGTTGGTCCTTATATACCGAGCGCTTTTATAAACCGAGGCGCTCGCGCCGAGGTTTATAATGAGTGAGGTATATAATGACTTTCTCTACCGAGGAATATATAGAATTTTTTTTACTACTGCTAGTAGAAAATGAAAAATTTGTTTAAAATCTGTGCTCCAATTTTTTTTTTTGAACGCCCTCTTGAAAGTGCTGCCCTCTATCAACAGCTTATGATAACTTCCTATGTACCTACAGAAACCTGTATTTTTTTTCAAATTGACGTATGGAAATGAAATTGAACCAATAGAAACATGACAATATCCTTGTGTCATGACGTCATTTTTATTATTAACCTAGGTATTTTTTCATTATTTTCATTATTCACCTAGGGAGAGAAATTCAATTTTTTCCTATAAAAATAGATTAAATAATGACTATTTCTCAGGTTAGTAGTAAAAAAAATCATTTGTTGGGAAAACTGTCCGTCGAGTTGAAGCACTGGTATTTAGTTATATCACTCACGAAGAAAAAAACAAATTTTTATAAGCTTCAAAACAGCAATTTAACCGGAGCAATTTAACGCACGTTCTCCACAAAACACGGACGGACATTGTAAAGCTTGACGTGATTGTTCTAGTTTCAATAACTTCAAGCCACTTTAAATAGGCATCAACAATAATAAAATAATGATAATCGTTGATTGGACCAGCGAAATCTATATGAATTATTTGCCATAGACCCTTTGGAACAGGCCATGCTACTGGAGAAATTTTCGATGGTTTTCTTGAAACTTCTGCCTTTTCTTCGCATGTTCGCAGTAAATTGATAATGTCTATATTTGAGCAGTAAACATATTGTGGTGCTTATGCAAGCATATACAGAATCTAACTTGGAATCTAGAAAATACTGCTTTGTTAAAGGAAAAAGATTATCGCATTTATTCTGGATTCTACACGAATGGATTGCGGATATATAAAGGCCGGAATTAGTTAGATGTTTTAAGTTTAAGATTGACTGTGATACGATTTAAATAGTGAATTTTGTAAGAGTTGTAAAAAGTTAAGTTGTTTGAGTTATTAGTGAAGTAATTAGTGTCAGGGTATGTAGTAACGTGAAATAAATTATGGTTCTGTTAATCATGGACTTTGATTTCGGAATAAACAAAGTATTATATACAGTATTTTATCTGTAACAAAATATTTGAAAAAAGTTTAAGAAATTATAGAAAATAAAATTGCGTCCATAACCTTTGACAGAGGATAAGTAGAATTTAGGAGATAGGTATAGTTGATGAAGGTACCTATGTAGATAGAGCGTGCGATAATATTACCGCACACAAAATCCTGTAATACACCTTAGCTACTGCACGCTTGTAGATAATAGCTAGTTATTTATATTACTAGTACGGTATGAGCTTCATTACAGTAACGAGTGGGGAATATTGCCACGACGAGGTCGTAGACCGAGTCGTGGTAACCACACGAGTGTTGTAATGAGTATTACCATACGTGTGATATACAACATTTTATCTACGACCTGGTTGTTTTTTTCGAGAAAGGTTGGATTTAGGTCTAAAATAAACGGCGATGGAGAAAAAAATGTGTATTTGCCTATCTTCTTCAACGCCGTTTATTTTTGACCTAAATAGGTAATAGGGCTCATTACATAACGCAAATGAGCAAAAATTAGTGACATAATAGTCACTTATTGTGCAGGTCGTAGATAAATAAATAAAACACCAAATCTCATAGTAGTCAATATAATAATAATTTAATTAAATATAAAGTTACATTCAAGTGTATAAAAAAGAATGTAACAAAAAAATTATAAAAAAAAGTTTCGGAACATTGTCCAAATTCACAGAATAATAAGAGTAAAATTAAAATTAAAAAAAAAAAAAAAAATTAATTAAAATAAATCGAGATTAAAATTTGCTCCACTTAAATTGTAAAATTATCATTTTGAAGAAATATAGGAGGTCTAAATAATAAAGTTTTGTGCTTAAAATTTAGCTGCAAAAAAATAAAAACCTACATTTTTTCTCCTTAAGCTTAATTGAATAAAATATATTTTTTAAACACCTAGCCTTTGACTAGCATGCACTCTTTTCTTCCGCCTCCTTCCGCCACCTCCAGAATTTCCGTGTGTCGTCAACCAGTGTTCGTAATGCCTCTCATTGGTCAACCAATCTTGGTACTTGTACCACCACTCTTCCCATTTCACATAGTCGTCAAGACTGAGATCACGAAGATAACCCAAATCTTTGTAATATTGATAGCGCACTCGGACGTCGTCCCAAGCAGCCAATCGCGACTGCCCTGCGGATAACAATTCATCGGGATAATGTCCTTGCGGCACTGGAGATATGCTGTAGCGTCTTGGTGGCGAACCGTACAGGAATTCGTCCTGTTCTACCATTACTTTCATGTTGCTGCCCGTTTTCGTTATCCTCATGTTTTCAATGTCGCGCCTTTCTCTGTCTGCAGTCCATTGAGCTATTTTACCAAATCTGAATATAAGAATTTTGTTAGAATTAGTTGCCTTTATTCTTTACGACCAAATACCTTTCAGACAAAGTCATTGCAGTGGTCGCTACGATTGGCACTGTGGCAGATGCGCCACTGTCTTCAGATCCAGAAGATTCCGCTCCAGGCGAACCAGGATTCTTTTTTTTTTGGGCTCCCTCTTTTTTGATTCGAGTAAGTAGAGGCTGAAATTTAAAATATGAACAAACTTCAACTTGAGTATTCTAGTTTTAAGTCCACTGATCAAAAAAGTATCAACATCATAATCAACAACTCGTGACTATAAATACCAAAAATTCTTACCGTTTTCCCAGTAGGTACCTTTTCAGCTACTTTCTGACCAGGTTTCTGAGGCACAGGCCTAGGTGGTGGAGGCCTAGTCCTAGGATCTGTAGGTCTATCGTTAGAAGTGGGAGGCCTGGGCATGCGCTTGGCCATCGGCGGTGTTACAGGACGCGGAAGCCTCCTCGGTGGAGGCGAAGAAGGACTGGGAGGTCTTTGAGGTCGCGACGTTTGCGCTTTCGAAGGTGGAGGAGGTTTACGGATAGCGCTTGAGGCTGAAGGACGTGGCGGAGGAGAAAACGAACGAGATCTGAAAAATAATTCTATGTTGTTAGGACAAAAAACTTGACTTAATCTTAGATTACCTGGACCGTTGCCTGCCATGTTTAGGAGAACACACAGAACAAGAATCTTCTGAGCAACTGCTCATGCTACTCGCAGAAGCTGATCTTCTGCATCTTTTTTTCGGCGAGGGTGGTGTTCTGGGTCTACCACCTCCTCTGTATCCCATCGGCGGAGACATGGCTCCGCGTCGGGCGGGCGGCGATCGGGGGCTGCGTCCTCGGGGCGGCGGACTACGCGGAGACCGAGCTCTGGGCGGTGGCGAACGGGGCGAGCGGGCGCGTCTAGGCGACGGTGAAGCGCCCGCGCCCCCGCGACGGGTGGACGAAAACGAACGGGAACGAGACCGGGACCGCGAGGACGACTGCCCGTCGAGGTACAGGGATTTGTAGCCCGAATGACGCCATCTGGAAAGAAACATTCGTATTTTATTTTTAAAAGTAACATGTTTCATAAAATTCCGAATGTACAAAATATCAGTCGATTCTGCAAATTTGCCAATTTGTCAAAGATTTAGCATAAATATCTAGGCAGTTTACAAATTGACTAAAGTAACTCACAAGAAACCTAGAATCAGCAACTGATTCAATGAAGAACTCAGGAAATTATGCAAGAAGTCAGAAAAATAGAAAAGCAGCCTGAAAAATAACTTTTAAAAAATGTTTTGAAGATGATTTTCTACATTTTTTGGAAAATTATTTAAAGACTTTGCTTTGAGAAATCATGAAATTTTAAATTTTCATCTTCAGATGGCGTGAGGAAGTTGAAGATTCAATGAGGAATTTAGGGAATCAAGAAAGATGTTACAAAATTGGGGAGGGAGTAAAGAAACAGCTTTTAAAAAATATTTCCCTTCAAAAATCTTGAAAGGACCTCGCACACTTCTTATGGGATTTCTGACCGCTGTCAAATTTAACCAAATTTTAGTATGTCATAGATCTCACCTTTCTGATCAAAAACTATCATGGGCACAACAAAGATTCATTAAAAATAACTTTTGAAAAATGCTTGAAACATAATTTTCCAAAGTTTTTGGTAATTTATTATACGAAAAACAACTTGCTTGAAATATGTTTCACAAAGAATTTAGTAGAAGACTTTTCCTTTGAGAAACTTGGAATCAGAGAGGAAGTCACACAGTTATAACTTTTTGACGAAATTTGACGTTGCGTTTCTCTAATTGTGGCTTAAACCAAAGACTGAAAATATCCCCAGTTAAGTATACTGGTTTATTAGCTATTTTACCATAAAATGTTTTGTTGATGTGACTTTCCCTCCTTTTTTTAATGTCAATATTTTTTTGGTTGTACCTTCCGGTAATATGGCCCAGTAGGTACATAGAGGGGTAATATGGCCCATGCGGACCATATGATATGATGAATATTGTGTTGGTCTTGCGCCTGATGACTTCGATGACTTTCGAGTGTTGTTAGCTGTTATTAAGGCTATGGTCCGAATATAACCAAACGTTAACCAAAGTAACCGAATCGGTTGAAAGATGGTTAGTGAAAATTCCGGTTATTTGGGGAACGCAAATATGAAATAATAAATAATTGACAGAAATTACAGATAAAACCAACAGAACCGACATCCGATTGCCAGTAACTATTTTGACATTTGGTTAACCAGATTTCAGGAAACGGAGGTCCAAAAGTAACCACTTTCAGGAACCAGAGTAATTTGATTACTTTTGGACCGCTAAACCACAACTCTGGCTATATTCGGACCGCAGCCTATATTATCGTTTCCTCTTATCTGTCAAAAATACATAAATTTGCATAACCAGTTTTGGGTTTATTAAATTTTTCTGTATTTCTATGGAATTTAGGGATGGGCCATATAACCAGAACGGGAGGATAATATGGCCCATTTGTGAAACTAACTAGTTTTGCATCTTCGTCCAATAAAAATAAGAACTAGTAGAGTTCTATGCAAATATCAACTAATAAATTACTAACATTTTCATGTGAAAGCCGTTCACATAAATGTCAACGTCGAAATTTAAAATGCATTTTAAGCCTAAGTGGACCATATTTGCCTCCAGTAGGTACCTTTTAGGGTAAAAGCCATATGTTGCACTATATAAATAATTAGATTTTCAATTGTATGTCTAATTTATGTTTTCATTCGAGCAATATTGGTTTTCCTAATTAGCAGAACAAACTCAAGGTTAATTATTATTTTAGGAATAGTATTTATTTGAATTCCAGTGGCAGGCGAATGTTGGCAAGCCTCATTTATGACAACATTTCTAATTCATCTTGCTTTTAAAGGTTAAGAACCTTAACTCACGTGCAAACCAGGGTCAATTATGGTTATTTTTCAGAATGTTCAGGGACTGTGGATCTACAGGGTAATTTTTTATATTTTCCTACCCCCTTTAACTCTTTTGTGCCAATGTATATAAAAAAATGTAAACAGGGAAGGTGTAGTGCTTGAAAAATAGTTCTCAGAAATCATAGTTTTGTTCATACAGGGTTGTGCAGAAAGTTCAAAAACCAAGTTCACATTCCACCAACTTTGAATTTACTCCATGATTGAAAATTCCAATTAAACTTAATCTCCGGTTAAACTCAACGTTGGTGTCAAAGGATAGTTTATGAAATGCTTAAAATGAAAATGTAAAATCAGTTTTGCTGTAAAATTAACTATTTAGGTTTTACAGTTTATCAAAGTTGCAAAAAAGTCAAATTTTAACTGTCAATATTTCCGAAACAGTTGAACTTAGGAGGTATAGTGTATATCATATGAAATCTGCTCGGAATGTTACATAGAATCTGAATATTCAATAACATACAGGGTGTCCCATTCTGGCGTTGAAACCGGGTCTTTTTTAGCGGCAATGGAGGACGTAAGAATCGATTCGAAATACTCTATTCCTATTAAGAATATCTGTGATACAGCAACCTTCCACGTAAAAATAGACGACGATCTCAAAACAGACAAAATATCACTTGGCAAAGGAGTAGGACAGGGGGATACCATCTCTCCCAAGCTATTTACCCTAGCACTGGAGAATGTTTTTAAGAAGCTGGAATTGGAAAACAAGGTTCTAAACATCGATGGAGTATACCTCAATCACCTCAGATTTGCAGATGATGTAGTCTTGATGAACAGCAACATTCAAGAACTGAACATGCTAAATGAGTTAAACCAACAATCCCAAATAATTAATAGGTCTCAATGGTCTCAAAAAAAAATTGAACCTAAATAAGACCAAAATAATGAGCAAAAATCACCATAGATAACATTAACATAGAAAATGTAGAACATTACATATACAGAGGACATAAAATCAAGCTGGGCAAATAAAACCAAACATCGGAAATCAAACGCAGGATCCATTTGGCATGGGTGGCATTTGGAAACATGAACTCTATTTTTAAAGATAAAAAGATAACCACGAAGCTAAAGAGGAAAGCCTACGATAGCTGTATTCTGCTGGTTCTCCCAATGAACTTGTGCAACAACAACAAATTGATATTCAACATTGCAAAGACTAACATTTTAACTTTAAAGGGATTTGAAACAGACATAATTCTAAACAATGTCCCATTAAGTGATAGAGAGAGTTATAAGTTTCTGGGAGTTTTCATTGATACAAAGTTAAAATTTAAGGATCATACAGACCATGCAAAAAAAATTGGCATCAGGATGCTATGCTATAAGGATGGCAAGAATGGATTTAGGCCAGGATGTTGAATATATTTCGCCCTTGTGGAATCACATTTGAGGTACGTTATTCAAATTTTGGTGTTTTGCAAACAATCAACTTAGAAAGTCCGTCTTTGACTTCAAAAGCAGGCTATACGACAGTTGTGTAAAGTTAGTCCTAGGGGGCACTGCAAGCCATTATTTATTCGAAAGGGGATCAGGAGTAAAACTTTTTATTTTCAACTGTCTATGTAATATTGACATTACAGACTTTTTAAAATCTTGAAACTGTCACATTTCTGTAATTTGACATTTTATCAGGACTGCAATGTATATGCCTGCCTAGGCAGGCATATCCGTTTCCGTCCCGATTTCCCTGCTTGTTTTTTTTGTCAAAATTGATGACATTGACAAAAAAAAAGTGAAAGATGATTTTTTTCTAAGGCCAATTCACACTATTATTTCGTACTATAAAACTTTTTTGCTCAGAAATAGACCTATCTATTTTTACCTGGTATGCGCGCGCAACACGAGGCAATGCTTTTCTATTGGCTAACTAGTACAGGTGAGAGGTGTTCGTTTTGCACGCTGGGTATCTTCTCGTCCTTGTTTATTGCCTGTGGTTTGAGAAGAATAAAAGTACGATTGATATTCAACTTCACATAGCTTGATAAGTGACATTCGAAAATTGTTTTTGACAAATACGTTGCACAACATGCAGTCTTTCTCCTTCCTTTTTTATCCCGTGCAAATAAGAAGAACGGATTGCTATACGTAAGTCTAACATAACTTGGTACGTTTTGCCTCGTCTTGCGCAATGAGCGTTCTGTGTCTTTTTTTATCCAATGAAGTTTTCATATAATTACCTCTTTGTCTGGTAAAATAGATAGGTCTATTGAGGGTTGAAAATAAAATAGTATACAAACCTCGACGGAAAAATTCATTGCTGTCTCAAGGTTTAGTTTATAAACTACCTATATAACCTCTTGACCAGCAATGAAGCATTTTCCGTCTCGGATTGTAATATACTATTAATCACCTGCTTCTGAAACTTAAAAACTGAGAAAGCAATAGGAATTTCAATAAGCATGTTAAAAGGCTATTGTTGAGTAAAGCCTTGACAAATTTCACAATGATAGATTTTAATTATGTAGGTTTTTGTTTCTGTTTTTAATTTTGTTATTTATTTTATTGTTTTTAATTGTTATCGTTTCTAACTTAGGTAGGTTCCACAAGAAACTCAGGAAATTAAGGAAGAAATCAGAAAATTAAGAAGAATTAATTTATAATAGAAAAGACTTTGAAATTTCAAAGATTTCCATGTTCTGATTTTGGCAAAATGAAGTAAGAAATTCGAAGACTCAGTTAGAAAATTGGGAAGGAAAAACAGTTTTTGAAATATAATTTTTTAAACTTTTTGAAAAACTACCTTCGACTGTTCCCCTTGAAAAATCTTGAAGTTTCAAGTTGTTCCATGATAAAATTTTATCTTAAGAAAGTCAGAAATTCAATGAGGAACTCTGGAAATCAAGAAGGAAAGCCCGAACATTCGGAAGAAACTAGAAAAAAAAAACCTTTTCTTGTGTGTATATCCTATTATGATGAAAACTTGGATGAAAATAAAGAAACTTTATACAAATTTATTTGATTTGAACCTGTTCAACACTGCTGCATATTAAATTACTGAATTATTTCAAAAATAATGTGAAAAGCTTTGTAATTATACCTATTGGAATCCTTGGCTTCCACTTCGAGTAATTTTTTCTCCCAAATAGCACTGGATGTTGGAGAATTTTGAGCTCTTGCTTTCTTCATTACGTTATCGATTTCACGTCTTCTTCCAGCAGGTAGACTTGGATCTGAAATCAAATTTTTAACGTTACTTTAGAAAAAATGATTTCAATGTTGGAATTAATTTATTACCGGTTATTCTTTGTGGAGGAGCGTTATTGTCCATGCGCAGCTTGGACGCAATGTTTTTCCTTTCCCTGCTCCGGCTCCTTCTACGGGATGACATTTCAAAGCTATAGGTTTATATAAATAAAAAATCATTTTTATTCCTATAAAAACAGGAGATTATAGAGAAAAAAGCTTAGTTTTTGTTTTTAAAGGAAAAACTTAATCCCCAATGATTTTTGCCAAAAAAAAAAGGTTATTTTTAAACAGTAGGAACATTTCTCATTCAAAAAAAAAATGATATCTTAAAAAAAAATACCTCAATCCATAGTATCAATTAGTAGTGTGTGTAAACACAAGCCATTGGTATTATCCATCATCATAGAAATTGCCAGTAATTTTTGTTTTTTTGGAAAAAGGTATCCAATAGACAAAACCGAGAATTTACAGCGACGACCAAATAAGATAATATTTAGGCAATTGACGTGTTTTTGATATCGATTAGGAGCCCCGTTTTGTCAATGCCTTTACAGAAATTTTATATTGATAATATTGTTGACACACTCGTATTCCTCGAACTTCGAATAAAGGCTCTATGTTCACCATAAAAAAAATACCTACCAAAACCCAAGGTGTTATTATGGTAAAGAATCATTGTGGTAAAAATAACAATCAAGTACAGCATTCTGAGGTCTAATTTAATAGGCCACTTTCAGATTATTTAATAAATTGATAGATAGAAATAGCAAATTTAATCTCTAAAACTGAAAACGTCCTTTAATTCATTGGCTTTAAAGCCAATATTCATGCCCTTTTATTCCTATATTAGAAATGCGAAATTTCCATTCAATCACTTGTCAGCATGAATGTCTAGTGTTTTCCTATTACTTATATCGAAGAATATATAGCTAAACCATTAGTTTTTCCATATTATTTAGTACAAATAAAATTTTGGATTTTATGTAATAATGTAACTGATATAATTTTTTTTTCTAGAGATACAGATTTTGAAAAAGATGTGGCAACATGGAGACAAACAAGTTTCAGGATCAGCGGTTCAGAGTTCAGTGTCTAGCATTGGTGTCTAGAAATGGAATGGACTGTCTCACAGCCCCACTGTCTAGACAGTCTAGAGTACACTGAACAAGAGTTTACCGATTATATTTATTCTTAATTTGTTTATAAGGCAATAAAGGATGCAAATAGGCTAGGCTGCTTCTGCTTCATAGTACAATACTTTAAATTAGATGCAGTCATGTTTTGGATAATTTACTAATGAGAAATTCGGCATCCTAACATTTTTAGGATTCTGACGTCAAGTCCTAGTTTTTGCAGCAGTCATTTAAAAATGTGAAAGTGACCTATTTAAATGGTGTTTCATCATTCAAATTTCAAACTTTCCAAGCTACTCATTCATACATAAAAATTCTCAGATAAACCAACACTACGATTTTTCGCGAATTTTCCGACGTTTCGTTCCCTGAAGAGGGCCCTCCTGGCTTAGCGACCGTGCCAAAATTTCGTCGCGGCGTTGCCGTTATATCGACCCGCACAGCAAACGGGGTGTGTCAACAATTAAATATGATAAAAATAGAGAAAGTTTTTTTTTTCTAGGGTTTTCCTAACGGCAAGGACGATTGACCGAAGTACCATACGGTGCAAATTGGGTACTTTTCAAGTCGGAAAAACTACACGCAAATGCGACGTATATCGCGACGGAAATGCGATACGTCGCAACCGAACCGCGCCGTCCATTTTGTGTCTCTGCGGGGCGTCGGAAACTGTAAAATCAATACGCCAAAATAACTTACACTTATTTTGAGGACACTTACGTCTCCGCCGGTTAAAACAGTCACAAGCTCGCACGAAGTCTGCACGAGCTAGTCAGATGTGGTTTTTTCGCTTTTACGGTACGCTATTTTCACTAAAAATTCACAAATTTTCATCGGACAAAGAAAAAAGTAAGGGGAATTTGCCCCGTGATGACTTTTCCTGAAATAAATATTTGGAAAACAGTGCGCAAAAGCGCTAATGCTTTTGTCCATTCTAGGGACAGGTCCAATGTCCTCGCATATAGTGGCGACATCTATTATCGTTATCAAGTACTTCGATGAAAGTGATTAGAGTATTCTTTCTACGCGTTTAAGTACAAAATTTATAATCAAATTCTCTTGGCATTTGGCGTCTCTTTCTTTCAGCCTATGAAAGAAGCAAATAGAAATACATCTTTGCACTAATTCTTTCAATCGGAAACGCCATTAAAATAAATTTGAATCTGATACTTAAGTATTTTACTTCACTTTTATAAGGAGCATAGTTGAAAATGTACAAGGTAATCTACTAAGTACCTACTAGTACCACAGCATATACAAAAACAATCAGCAGACTAATTTAAGTGACAACCCGTGTAATAAAGGAATTCATCGTCTTAAATGTCACTAGCGGCCATTTTGGGATACGAAAAAGGACCTGATTAACGATAATTTGGGTTTTTTCGTTCCTGTCACAGAGTCGTATTGGCTTTGAATAAACTAATTTATTTTATTCTATTGCGAATGGTAAACTATCATTTAATCGACTCAACAAAACTCGTTGTTAAAGTAACACTTTATTTGAAGTAGTGGAATGGAACAATTTTTACCCACTCATTTGTCAATTTTACCCACCCATGCGTCAATTTTACCCACTCATACGTCAATTTTACCCACTTGTTCAAATCTTTTATAATAATTATAGTGTTTTTGACAGAAATCAGAGGTGCTTTCCAGTGACCCATTTGAGTTACTCCTGAGCAGCTCAGGAGTGCTCCACAATTGGTTTGCGCGTTCCAGTGCTTAGAGTTTCGTACACTTGAGCTACTCATTTCTGTTATCCCCTGCCCCCTCGTGCACCAACCCTTTTGTCTGTGTTTCATGCTCCTGAAATCCGAAATGGTGGGGGTTAAGACGAGAGCGTTCCAGTGCTGCTTATGTCGAACAGTTCAAGAGCGTCACACTTCAGGATCATGATACTCTAACAATTTAGGCACTGGAAAGCGGCTCTGATATGTTGCATGATTGACAACACCAGAAATGTGTCAGTTTGTTAGGTACTTTGTCAATTTGTCACAATCTAAAGTTTTAGCACATTTTAATTTATGATTTTAGTAATTGACCTTTTCAATTTAAAAGCCTCTCTCTCTGGCATCAAACTGTCAGACGCCAAAAGAGTATGAAAACAATGGTTGACAGCCGTTGACAGTGGTTTGTAGACAAGACTTTTGAAAGAAACTATTATTTCCTCGGGTTTTTTAAGGTTTTTTCTTAACAATGGTGATTGTGTGTAGTGTGCCTATACATAAAACGAATTCCTATTTATTCCTATTCACCGGCGGATGTGTTGTTCCATAAGTTTCCATCAAATCCTATATTTGTCAAAACTTGGATACACAAAATCAGAATGCAGAAAGGATACTCGCAAAAGAAAGGGAAATCCACGGCTCATCAAGTATACAAAAGTAATCCATGTTCAAGTTTAGTTTTCAGAAGCTGTTTGCTTCCAAAATAATCCACCCCGGCTTCGTAGCGAAGTTCTGCGAATGAAGCAGTGACTTTTCCCACATTTTCTTTCCAATTTCAAACCCTGTGTTTTTATTATAAAATTTTACCGATGGATCCATCATTCTATGTCGGTCATTTTCCATTCACTTAACAAAGGTAGCTAACTCATTGGTGAAGTCACGGATTCGAATAAAAATGAGGGGATTGCTAAACACCCAATACACATTGACATTGACAAGCAAGCAAATTTTGGCGGGAAAATGAATGTTTTCATACTTATCGTTCATCTCTTTTAATTGAAAACGTCAATTGTGATAAATAAAAAGTGGCTCAAGAATAAAATAGAATATTACACACGACGGTAAAAAAGCTTTACCTGTTCGTGGAATTAATCCACTCGCTCCTTCGTCGCTCGTGAATCAACATTTTCCACTCGCAGGTAAAGCTTCTTTTTACGGTCTTGTATAATAAATAATTAATTACATAGGTACATAGTTAAATTTATAATTACTAATTTATTATTATTATTATTAAATATACAACAATGATAACAGATAACACTATAAATTACAACACGAATATACTAAAATCACTTCGAAAATCATAACTAAAATTCCGCTTTACATCGCACGCCTATGACCTCCGTTAGAAATAAAGAAATAAAATAAAATTTCGGCGCCCCTGCCGTTTAATGACAGAATGGTATCCCCTAATGGCGGCGTGCGCAGAAAAGATGCGTGTGAGAGTTAAGGTACGGTTTGCTAGGAGAGTACGCGACGCACAACTGATAACGTAAACGTCGTCATTGGTTCAGGTATGACTTACACCCGTCTTCTGACGTGAGAAAACGGGTGTACGTCATACCTATGGTCATACCTGAACCAATGACGACGTTTACGTTGTCAGTTGTGCGACGCGTACTCTCCTAACAAACCGTACCTTTAGCCTGCTGATTGTTTTTGTATATGCTGTGCTAGTACTACAATAGTGACACTCTACGAAAACTTCCCTTAAATTCTATCGTGTAAAAGCGCATTTGAAATGATTTTTATTTCAGACATGAGTTTGCAGACAGTAGACGTCTGAGACGTTGGGTTTTGTAACAAATTAATGTCTTCAAGATATTTTCAAGACGTGTAAGTAGACGTCTACTATTTACAAAACATCCGTTTCAGGAAAAGTTTTATGGGTTACCGCGGCTCCATGTTGAACCTGCACATAAGTACAAATTAACCGGATAATTATTGGCTGTCGTCTTGAATGTGAACACCATGTTTTTAGACTGAAAAATAATCTAATAAAATTTATTTATAAATTTTACACATTGCGTGAGATTATGGTCTAGGCAGCTACTTACGATGATTTATAAGGCACTGGTCGAGTCATTGATTAATATGGTAGGTACCTCTATTGGGGTATGGGGTGGACGTTATAGTTCCGCCATCCTACAGCTCAATGTAACGCAAACCTATATTCTAAAGGTTATAAATAAAAAACAAAAACGTTATTCAACAAATCTTCTGTAAAACGAAAATATATTTAATGTTAGTTCCCTGTATGTTCTTTCTGTGTGTTCTGCTTATATATCTATGATGTATAGAGAGCCTTAAGAAGTATGTAAGCCATTGCCATGCGACTAGATGTATAACAATGAACAAATTCCAATTAGCCACAGAAGTATCAATCAAAGATTTATTAGTTATTTAGGTCCAAAATTCTATAACTTGTTGCCAGAGAATGTTAGAACTATTAAGAGCCTAAACAGATTTAATTCTGCTTGTAAAAACGATATACCTATTTAAAAACAACACTCAATTTGTCAGAGTTTTTATAGTCTTACATAACTGTTATAGTCTTACATAACTGTTATACTAGGGGTATTCTTTCGATCTAATCGAACTGAACAAACTAATCTGATTTAACTGAAAGTGATTTTTATATTCACATCACTTCGCTCAGTTCTGTCGCATCGAAAGAACAAAAATCTATATCAGCTGATTTGGACTCACAAATTATCTGAAAGAAGTGAACGTAAAAATTCTGCGATCACTTGGGGCTAAGATTAAACTGATTGCAATCATTTGGTGGGTATGGTGGGAGAAATGATCCGAAATCGAAAGAACACGGTTCAATCAGTTCAGTTGACTTCAATCAGTTTGTTCAGAACGAAAGAATACTAGAAATGTTATATTAATTATTGATTATGATTTACTGTAGGTATATGTATTGTGCAATTATTATAATTTATCAATAAATATCATTAATATTATTTAATATCAATCTAGATGTCCAGATTTTTTCAAAAACTCGATTTTTGGTGAGTAGCAGCCAGTGGCGGATCTAGAGCACCATCCTGGGGGGGTAGAGCTTCTCAACCACCAGTAACGGCTCGTGGTCTATACTTGAAGGGGTTCACACTAGGGTTGCCAACTTTCGGTTATTAAAATAAAGGACACATTTTGAAAAATTTTTAGGTGCTACGCCATTGAGGGTGCCAGTGAAGGCTACCATATTTTTTTCTGTTTTCATAAAAAGTCGGAATGAGCATGAAGCAGAAGTTTAATGTACCTATAGAATTTTTAATACCTATTTAGAAGTACCAGTCGTTCTAGTGACAAAACGTATGTCGCTTCTTGAACACACAGATAAAATTAGGCTAGGAATTTCCTATTTGTACATAAAATTGACATATTAGTATCGACGTTCGTTTTTGTTGGTAATTTTTTTTTTTCATCTGATTCTTGATTGATAAATAAGGATGGGGTTATTCTAAATGGGTATTAAAAATACTATACCTACATACATATAAAAAAAAGTGCCGCAGGCGAACATTTTTTTCAGAGAACCACGCCCGATTTTTTGGTTTTTCTTGTAAATCGTAAATGTCCAATAGTTATCTACTCCGGCGATTCTATTAAGGTAGGTAGCAAATTTAGGACGCAGGTCATGAACCTTGAAATAAGGGACTGTCCTGTATAATACGGGACGTATGGCAGACTTTGTCACTGTACCACTTCGGAAACCATCCAATTTTAGCTTCCTTTCAAATAACATTTTTAGGATATTAAATTTTATCTCAAATTCGGAGCTCGGGGATTTACCAAAATTTTTCCAATGTTGCCAACTTTAGGACATTTTTTATTGCATTGTAGTTTTGGCACAGGCTTAAAAATAAATTATGTGGTGAATGATGGCGGCGGTACTTCAAAAAAAAAAAAAAAATATGCGTTTTTTTATATTTCCGGATTTTAAAGGACATTTGCCGCCCTTTAGCACCTTTCAAAAGGACAAAGGACATTATTCTAAAATAAAGGACTGTTCTCTGAAATAAAGGCCGGTTGGCAGCCCTAGTTCACACCCAAAGTAGGACCAAGTAGGTGAAGCCCACCGCAGGTGCCTCCGGAGTCAGAAATTTTTCTCGGGTGCCACGTACAAAACGAATTTTAAGCCTCCAAAAAATAATTTGTGTGTTTTTCAATAATTAAATGTTTTTTACGCCTCTCTGGGGGGGGGGGGGGGGTTATTACCCCCTTTACCCCCTCCCCCGTGGATCCGCCAATGGTAGCAGCACGACGGAGAAAAAGAATGGTACGACGACTACGTAAAAGTTGTAAGCGACATTACGAATTTGTCTTTATTCATGCATTTTTTCCAGTTAAGCATTTCGACAATCGTTACGTGTACCTTCTTCAAAAAACAACTATAAATGTGTCAGTACTAAACCGCTACGATACTGGTTAATTGAGATGAAAGTCGGAAAACTTTACCCACTGTGATTTGACTCAACAAAAAAAAGCCACTGTATAAAGATACAGAGTGATCAATATTTTATTATTCCCGGCTCTGATAGGAACGAAAGCCGGTGATAGAAAACAATTTTACTAACTGTTATTTGACTCAACAAAAATAAGCCAGTGTGTAAAGTGATACATACAAGATACAGAGTGATCAATATTTTATTGTTACCGGCTCTTGTAGGAAATTGTTCACAAAAGCTGGTACCTAATCGAAAACAATACCACCACTGTGTAAAGATACGGGGTGATCAATATTTTATTTCTGGCTCCTAATGTAAAAAATCTTTCACGAGAGCCGGTAATAGAAAATAGTTCTACCCACTGTAATTTGATTTAATAAAAATAAGCCATTGTTTAAAGATAGTGATCTAATCGAAAACAATTTCACCACTGTGTAAAGATACGGGGTGATCAATATTTTAATATCCCTAGTTCTTAATGTAGAAAATCTTTCACGAGAACCGGTAATAGAGAAAAATATTACCCACTATAATTTGAATCAATGAAAACAAGCCACTGAAGTATAAAGATACAGAGTGATCAATGTTTTATTATTCTCGGCACTTGAAGGAAATCTTTCATGAAAGCCGTGGTAATCAAAAACAATTCTGCCACTGTATGAAGATATACAGGGTGAACAATAATGCATTATCTCTAGCTCTCAATGTAGAAAATCATTCATCACAATCCGATGTCCAAAGGTATAATTAAAGGTAAAATGTATCACCTTTCAGTGGTATTTAATAAAGAAAGGTGATAAATTTATCTTTACCTTTGGACTATGGATTGTGAATAGGATATACAACCAACCGAAAATCTGCATAATGTGGAATTAAACGAATTATCAAATCAAAAATCACGGATTGTTGTGTAAATAGTATCCTCGCTTCAGAAACACGGAAATCTGAAACTCAACCCTAACACCAAGAGACTCATTGAAGAAAAGAAAGAAAACTAACAGGAACTTACCAAACTACAGAGAACTGAACAAGACCGTGAGCAAAGCCATCAGCGCAGAGATGTAAGAACAGCACAAATATAAGAGTTTTATGCCCCAATTTGTCAAAAATTAGGAACGAACTCGGGGAAGTCGTTGCAGAAAAAGAAAAGATCACAGCCTTCTACTGGAAAATTTACAGCCAATCTGTTCAAAATCAAGACAAGACGGAAGAACTGCAAAAAGTCGTTTTGAACGTGGGATCAGAAGATATACCACACCTAGATAAACCTGAACTAAAGAACCGCAAATGGTAAAGTACTAGGAAAAAGCACCAGATCACCAGCGAAATGCTAAAGGTTGACGGAGAACCACTAGAAGATGCAATGTTGATACTGTTGAATCCACGTATTCAAGAGAGCCAAACCCCAGATGCATGGAATAACGCAGAGATCATTTTGCTTTTCAAAAAAGAGGATTGTACACAAGTCTAGAAAATTAAAGACCCATCAATCTACTCTCTATCTTTTATAAATTATTGACACAAATCATACCCAACAACCAATTAACCCATCGAACAAGCGGGGATCGGGAATTTGGTTGGATCACCATTCACCATTAGCAGATGAGAATTTTCTCGTTTGGTTCGTTTGGTTGTAGTAAAACACAAAACTTATCTTCTAGACAAAAACTTAAGTGAGTTTTGACGGTTTCAAGTAGTAAACTGATCCTAATTATTATCAAAAATGGTACTTTATTACTATTACTTAAACCACAGCTCAAACTTAGTTATTTATCTTTCAGGATTACTCTTTGACATCACGCACTCTTATTAAATACCGTTTTACCATGCTGGTTTTTGGGTGATTGCGTCCGGACTATTGGTAGGGCTTATACCATATACGAAAAATAGGAAAATTATTGGAAACGATACCTTAGTAAACGATAGGAAGTGTTGAATTTTTGGATTTATTGTAGATGGTATTGATTTTTAGAGAGATTTTATACAGTATCTATCTATAATAGGTAGGTATATGGGTATGAAACAGATTTGCAAATTGAGCTTATCATTGTGGATTGCTGGATCGATTAAAAAGTTATGACTCTTCTTATGTCTATAGTAATACCGTTCATTCTCAAAATCAGAATTATTCGAGGTTTTTCATCACATTTCCAAAACAACTGGATGTCCATTTCAGCAAAGGTTACATTTCAGCAAGTAGAGCAAATTAATGGAACTAGGATTTATCTCAATTTTATTCTACCTGAATAATTGATGAATCATCACTGAAGAAAAAAGGAAACCCAGGGTAATATAAACTTTGGTAATGTAAACAAGCTTGTACCTTTCTTACACAGCTTCTTATCATCTATTTTTATATTCGGCATTCGGCAGTAGACTATTTATCGTCGTGAAGGAACAAGCTATTGGAAAAATAATTAAGAATTTCAAGTTTTAATTCTTGACCGAATGTTCACCCAACGGACGGGGTGCGATTTTCGAAACCATTCGAGTTAATTTCGTACACGAAATTTGACTGACAGCAATGTAAATTAAATGGAGAGTAGTCAAATTTCGTGTACGAAATGTACCTACTCGAATGGTTTCGAAAATCGCACCCCTGGGATCCGCTTTGTTTCTAGGTGTCCCTTTTCTATTCTAGGCAATCCAGTTTGACATAATTGATTCCATAAGCTAAAAAGTCTTCGCAGTTTCCATCCGCCCTCACTTTAGCAATATGTCCATTCGATTTCGTCAGTTGGCTTTTGCTCTGGATGTAGCACACATGACCACCTTCAATGACAAAGAACTTTTGGTTGGCATTTACAGAGAATTCAGATCAATAGAGGTTTTATGGATAAGATGCTGGTAGGTCTAAAAAGGTAATTTCTTTCCTTCTTCTTCTCGTTCATGAGTTAAGCTGGATTTATAGTGTCAGTAGCAGTAACAGTAACAGTAACTTGACTTAAGAACAGATGAAAATATCCATTTCTTAAGTTTTACTGATAAGTTTGTTAAATGAACTATAAATGGCTTTACGGTCGGCCGTGTTTTAATATTTTACTGTTACTGCTCTGCTACTGTTACTGATACTGACACTATAAATCTAGCTTTACACCACAGGTCCTAGAAAAGTCCCTTTATACACTTATAAACTTGCCAAACGAATTTACCTTCTGCTTTTTGAGAGTTGATAGGTATAGGAACTAGACCTTTGGTGAGCGAGGGGTGTTTCACCTACTAAATTTTGTACACCTTGTATTTGACTGCATTGATTGCATCAAATATCATAGTTGACTGCATTGACTTTTGAGAAAGATCAAGATTGCAGAGGCTCCATTTGCAGCGACTGCTTACGATTTTTTGCGAGTGTATATGAAATGTACGCTACTGCACGGAATTTATAACAATTGCAAGCGACTGTATTATGATTGCATGCGACTGTATCATGACTGCATGCGACTGTATCATGACTGCATACTGCATGCGACTGTAAGTCCATGTAATCCATTGACTGCATGAGAATGTGTATGGACTGCAGAAGAATGTATGAACTGCATATACATGAATGTAAGATATTTATTTTTGAAACAAGTATATACCTATTTCAGTAAATTAATCTTTAACAATATTTAACATAACAATTCTCTAATCAGTGCTTGTACATTTACTGCATGAGTGGAACACCCCTCGTTGGTGAGCTACTTCTAGTTGGGCAAGTTTGGTATTAGACTTTGAGCATTTGACTGTAAATGTTTTCAATAACTCTCCCTTTAAATGATAACTTTTTTTTACCAATTGAAATTGCGTTTCACTGATATCCAGGACAACAATTCGTGGTTTGATTATTTCTTTTTGGTAATTGGTGTCCCCCGGGAAAGCCGTCCACCATAATAGGTTAGGATCCCATTTGTTGCACGATTATACTATTTAAGGTAAGTGTAGCATTGGGGCACTACCAAATACCGGCGAGAAGTGGTTGAATTATGATTGGCTGTTGGGTATCGGCTGCACAATGTGATTTCAAGTGAATTAAGATTTAGTCTAATGAGGCTTAATAGAATAGCTGAATGCTCTGCAACTTTTCGAGGCGAAATTGTTTTTGTGTTTTCCAGATGAAGAGTCAAGTGATCAGGTTCTATATATTTGAAGAAGATTATTCCAGAAGAGGAATGAATGTTGTGAATGTTTTCCTTTTCTACGCACCTGCAATCTGGTTTGTCTTTGATTCTTTTCCGCTTAGGTAGGAAGTCTTTGCAGTTTTCTGAACCATTGGTACCCCTCAATGGGCAACATGTTTGGCCCATTTGATCAGCAGGCTCTTGATATGGCACAAATGTCCACCTTCAATAACTCTTGGTTGGCGTTTACAGAGAATTCAGATCAACAGAGGTTTTATGGATCAAAACGCTGGTGTGTCGCGCACTAAGAAGGTAATTTTCCAATTTCAAGACTAAATTTTTAGGTACTAAAATTGTTTATTTTTTCTAGATGAAGATACAAGTGAGCATGCTCTATATTGTAGCAGAAATGTTCTTGTTCAAAAAAGATTATTCCAGAAGCACACAGAAAACACAAGCCTACGAACAAGGCATATCTTTGAGGCCATACCAACAGGCAACAGATTCAGAGGAAGACCAAAGCTCAGATGCAGGGACGGGGTTTTTGAGGACGCTAGCACAAATGACCACAATTCCTACAAACCCTTGGACCAATAGAAATACTATTTTTCAGCTGTGAAGTTACATGTGCGTCGATTTCCACAACGATCCATGATTTGACCGAATCTGACGGCATGGGGCCAACGGGAGGCCTAATGCCATAGTTGCCTGGATCTTTTTTGTTGCACTAATATACTATTTATGGTAAGTGTAGCAGCGGCGCCATCCAAACTGGCAAGAGGGTGTTGAATTATGGAAAGTGGTCGGTCTTGACTGTACCAAGTGGATTAGGCCTAAGGGCCAAATTATGGACTGACTGTTGTTACCTAGCAGGTACTTGCTATGCACTAGAGAGCTCTATGCTAGAGAGTAGAAAGTACCTGCTAGGTAACAACCAGACACTTATTAACTGCCAAACTTTTCAAAAAAAGTGATGCCGCTGCAACCAACGTTCAAAGACGGCAAAAGAACCATCGATTATGTTTTGGTCTACAAAACCTCAGCGCTGCTAACGGAAGGTGCGGCTACAAAACACAAAACTTTTATAGACACTCTTAAAAAGTTAGGATTGGAATTGGAAAATGAAGCTTTTTCGGTATCTACCTAACAATTGCTATTTTTTGAATTACATATTTTGGTTTTAGGTAGACGAAGACATAATATTTGTTAAAATCCACGCGCCAGATAGTTTTACGTTTTCCTATGCAACTTTGTTGGACATTGAACTATCGTGTAATAGTTTTGATTATAGACCCCACATTTCACCCCCTCCAAACTTTATGTCCACACCGCTTACCAAACCCAACATAAATGATCCTATTTATGCTAGAGCACCGTAAGAACTTCAACTCTTTTTATCCATTTACTCGATAAAAGTTTTTTAGGGAAACTATTAGCGGCGAAATACCCAAAAAAATAACCACATCGGAACGAATCATGGTTATTAATCAATTATTATCTAGATGCATTTGGGGTGAAGAAAAGTGGGAATATGGACTTAACAGGTAATACATTATTCTTCCATAAAAAATAGAATCATTTTGCTGTTTTAGATTGATTGCGGCCAAAATAATCAAAGACGCATTTCCCTTACACGATGGAACCTATAAATGGACAAGGGAAGGGCCATTGAATGATCGACAAGTAAAAATCTCTTAATAATTTTCCAAGTACTTATAGATTGCTTTTGTAGTTGTTAGCCAGGTATTGGGGAAAACCAAATTGTTGTCTAAAAGCACAACCTTTAAATCTAGTAGAAAAATACTTTGGCACTGAGTATGCTCTGTATTTCGCTTGGCTGGGCATGTACATCAAATTTCTTGTACCAGCTGCCATTCTGTCCATTTTAGTCATCATATATGGTTTAGCTACAATATTTACTCCAATGAATCGTAAGGCGTAAGTAAGTTTAAGAAAAATATGAATCGTTTTAGAGATTTTCACCGTTATGGTATATTTTTAGGACCCAAATATGCAACAGCGACATGATAATGTGCCCAAAATGTCACTATAATAATTGCCCGAGAGAATATTTGAGTAATTCTTGTTACAGCGCTAATATGGCTTATTTGTTTGATAATGGGTGCGCTGTAATGTTTGCTGCAATAATGTCTTTATGGGGTAAATAAAGATGATTTTTTAATTGAATCTTGATTCAATAGATGTTTTCATAGCTACGATTTTTATGGAGTTTTGGCAAAGAGAAGAATCGGTGCTCCAGTTGCAGTGGAACGTTAAATCACTGAAATATACTATTACTATGAGGTAATGTAAATGGTACTTTTTCATTTGAAAGAATTGGTTTTGTAGGCCAGAATTCTTGGAAGCAGCGCCTTACAAAAGATTTTCTCCTATTACCAATAGATTGGAACCTTTTATACCTAAAAGGCAACGGACCATTCGGTATGTTATCACTTTGGCCTCCGTGACGCTATTGGTAAGTTGAAAAACGAATTTTATTATAAAATTTTGTGACAATCTTACAGGCTCTATTAGATTTATGTTATGATATTGATTTGGAAAAATAGGACCACACAAAAAGTTGAATATTCTTTTCAGAGGTGACTTTCAACCAGAAAACTGCAATTCAGACTCACACACAAGCCAAATTTTAGAACTCTATTCATCTTCTTCCAAGTCTCCCAAGGTTGTTCTTTCCCTGGTTTTTTTCCAGAAATTCAATTTTCCTCTTATGTATTTCCTTATGAAGTGTCTTTTGCTTTCTCTCTGTCTTACAATTCAACGTTTTTGAGAACTTTTTTCACCTTCTTCAAATTCTCCTTTGTCTTTTTTAGCTTTCTCTCTGCCTGTTTCTTTTTTAGAGATTTTCAGATTTTCAATTCCCCTTGTATACCAAGAGGTGCCTTTCAACCAAAAAAACTGTAATTCAGACTCACACAAGCCACATTTTAGAGCTTTATTCATCTTGTTTCAAGTTTCCCATCTTTTTAAGGTTGTTCTTTCCCAACTTTTTAAGAAATTCATTTTTCGTCTTATTTTGTCTCTCCTGCCTTATGAAGTGTTTTTTTGCTTTTTCTTCGTCTTACCAATTTACCGTTTTTGAGAACTTTTTTCACCTTCAAATTCTCCTGTCTTTTTTAGCTTTGTCTTCCCCTGCTTCTTTCTCAGAGATTTTCAGAATTTCAATTTCCCTTCTATACCAAGAGGTAAGAGGTACCTTTCTGCCAAAAAAACTGTAATTCAGATTCACACGAGCCACATTTTAGGGCTTTATTGATCTTTTCCCAAATTTCCCATCATTGTTAGGTTGTTCTACCTTTCTTTTCAGAAATTCAATGTTCCTTTTATTTCGTCTCTTCTTCCTTATGAAGTGTCTTTCGCTTCTTCATCTCACAATTCCACGTTTTTGAGAACTTTTTCACATTCTTCCAATTCTTCTGTGTCTTTTTTAGCTTTGTCTTCCCCTGCTTCTTTCTCAGAGATTTTCAGAATTTCAATTTCCCTTGTATACTAAGTGGTACCTTTCGGTCAAAAAAACTGTAATGCAGATTCACACGAGCCACATTTTAGAGCTTTATTGATCTTTTCCCAAGTTTCCCATCATTTTTAGGTTGTTCTACCTTTCTTTTCAGGAATTCAATGTTCCTTTTATTTTATCTCTTCTTCCTTATGAAGTGTCTTTCGCTTCTTCTTCATCTCACAATTCCACGTTTTTGAGAACTTTTTCACATTCTTCCAATTCTCCTGTGTCTTTTTTAGCTTTGTATTCCCCTGTTTCTTTCTCAGAGATTTTCAGAATTTCAATTTCCTTTGTATACTAAGTGGTACCTTTCGGCCAAAAAAACTGTAATGCAGATTCACACGAGCCACATTTTAGGGCTTTATTGATCTTTTCCCAAATTTCCCATCATTGTTAGGTTGTTCTACCTTTCTTTTCAGAAATTCAATGTTCCTTTTATTTCGTCTCTTCTTCCTTATGAAGTGTCTTTCGCTTCTTCATCTCACAATTCCACGTTTTTGAGAACTTTTTCACATTCTTCCAATTCTCCTGTGTCTTTTTTAGCTTTGTCTTCCCCTGCTTCTTTCTCAGAGATTTTCAGAATTTCAATTTCCCTTGTATACTAAGTGGTACCTTTCGGTCAAAAAAACTGTAATGCAGATTCACACGAGCCACATTTTAGAGCTTTATTGATCTTTGCCCAAGTTTCCCATCATTTTTAGGTTGTTCTACCTTTAATTCTTTTCAGAAATTCAATGTTCCTTTTATTTTGTCTCTTCTTCCTTATGAAGTGTCTTTCGCTTCTTCTTTATCTCACAATTCCACGTTTTTGAGAACTTTTTCACATTCTTCCAATTCTCCTGTGTCTTTGTTAGCTTTGTCTTCCCCTGCTTCTTTCTCAGGGATTTTCAGAATTTCAATTTCCCTTCTATACCAAGAGGTACCTTTCTGCCAAAAAAACTGTAATTCAGATTCACACGAGCCACATTTTAGAGCTTTATTGATCTTTTCCCAAATTTCCCATCATTTTTAGGTTGTTCTACCTTCCTTTTCAGAAATTCAATGTTCCTTTTATATTGTCTCTTCTTCCTGATGAAATGTCTTTCGCTTCTTCTTCATCTCACAATTTCACGTTTTTGAGAACTTTTTTCGCCATCTTCAAATTTTCCTGAGTTTTTTTCAACTTTGCCTTTTCCTGCTTCTTTTTCAAAGATTTTCAGAAATTTAATTTCCCTCGTATTTTGTCTTCTTTATTATGAAGGGTCTTTTTCCTTTTCTTCTTCTTTTTCTAAAGATGATAATGATAAAGAAGACACAGACGAGGGAAAACAATATAATTGTTGAAGAAGAGATATAACAGCAAAGAAAAATGAAGATTCTTAAGTAGAAACAGGGGTAACAGGACCTAAAACAGAAGCACAGGAGGCCAAAAAAGGCATAAAGCATTCCAAAAACCATTAAATTGACAAAATCGACAATCGACATCGGTGTTAAGAAAAACTTTGAGAAGTGAAAACTAAATAGGGGAGTCAAGATTTGAGATGGAGATAGAGTAGAAAAAAAATACATTATAAATAACAAAGAAAAGACAATAAGGGCAGAAGAAAATCAAAATTCTAAAGAAATACCGGGTGCCCACGAGATCACTTTCCGACTGCCATTTTTTTATTTGTCTGTCGATATCAACGAAACTGGGTAGGGTTGATATTCTAACCAAACGCCATTTTTATGCATTAATGACAAGTTTTCCTGACTTCCGGTTTCACCGGAAATGACCGGAACTTTTGATTTTTAAATGGCACACCCTGTATATTTTTTGTTTTTCGGATTCTATAGGTCGTTTTACGTCATAATGCACCACTTTTGAATCGAGTTTTGTCCAAATTTTGTTTTTAAATTAAATATCAATTTCATAACTAGAGTGCCATGATCATCCTGAAATGACTCTTTATACTCTACTTTATTTCAGAAAAATAAAAACTCAATTTTATCTTTGTAAACTTTTTTGATAGAGTGCTGTAATAGCTATTTATATAAAAAGTACATAAAGTAAGGCTTTATTGTACGAATAATTTTATGGCCGAGCGAGCTTGCGAGCAAGGCTATTAAATAATGAGTCAATAAAGCCTGTATATGTAAGCGTTATATACATGATTTTATGTACGATTGCGACTGGTTTTTGTTGAAAATTGAAAAAATTTAATGAAAAAAGTGAAATTCGCATAGGTATACCTGTTTCACCTTGGCAGGTTGTCAGGACCTGTTTAACCTTGGCAGGTTGTCAGGACCTGTTTCACCTTGTCGGGCAGTCTAGGTAGGCAATAAAGTAGCACTTTATTTTACTAGTACAATAAAGTGCTACTTTATTGACGCAAAACTGTTCTATAAATAGCACTTTATTGGTCAATCGGACATAAACTTCATTATTTTAGTTTTTTTGCCCTAGCTCAAAAACTAGAATAGAAACATATCACTTTCATAAAATTACTAAATGCAGTATTTTGAAGCAAATCCAACGATATAATACACTACGACATTTTTCTTAATTTTCGTACAAATATTTTCGTTTTATTATGAAGGTAATTTTATTTTTTTTACTTAAAATTTAATTTGAAAACGAAATTAGGACAAAACTCGATTTAAAAGTGGTACATTAGGACGTAAAAGGATCTGTAGAATCTAAAAAACAAAAAATATACAGGGTGTGCCATTTAAAAATCAAAAGTTCCGGTCGTTTCCGGTGAAACCGGAAATCAGGAAAACTTGTCGTGGATGCACAAAAATGGCGTTCCGTTAGAATATCAAGCCTGCCAAGTTTCGTTGGTATCGATGAACAAATAAAAAAATGGCAGCCGGAAAGTAATCTCGTGGTCACCCGGTATAATAGAGGAAACGAAACCCAAACCTACAAAAGCGGTTTTAAGCAGTTGAAATAACAATAAAGTGAAAAATAGTCGAGAAACAGAAAAAAACACTAATGACGAAGAGACCTCATGTGGAGAGGATTCTGTTGAAAAACTTCAAAGAAAATTCATATAATGGATGTTAAGGAGTAAGACGTTTACAAGAGAGTAAAGAGAAAGGTGATAACAAAGGAAATATGATGGAAGTGAAAAAAGGAAAAAAAAACTTTATATTAAATTACAAAACATTCAGGAAAAATAGGAAGGAACAAGATAAAGAGATGAAGGAATGTGAAAAGAATACGATCAAGAGAGTTAAAAACGTTGAAATTTGATGAAACTTTGTTGCTCTATTGAAAGAAATGCTTGCTCTACCGATTTTTATTTTCACAAGTCATTTCAATAAATACTCAAACCAACAATATTTTTTAGCTATGCATAATGATTCTGGTAACATTCGGAGTAATGATCTACCGCGTAACTGTAAACACAATCCTAATCCAATCACCAACCCCCGAAATTATGCCAGAAGTAATGAGAAACAAATACAGAGGCCTTTTTGCTTCGGTATCGGGCGCTCTCATTTCGGCAGTGTTCATTTTCATATTCAAATGGGTATGAAAGAAAAGAAAATTCTGCAAAGATTATATACAAATTGTTGTAGGCCTACGAACGCATTGCCTTATTTCTAACAGACATGGAGGTTCACAGGACGGTTCGAGAGTATAACGACTCTTACGTATTTAAAAGTTACGCTTTAGCGTTCGCCAATAATTATTCTGCAACTTTCTATGTAGCCTTCTTTAAGGTAAGTGATTTATGTATAAATATTTTTTTTTTAGAAATGTGCAATCATTTCAGGGCAAATTCTATACACATCCTGGAGACTTGGAACTCTTTGATCACTTGGGTGGTATAAACTCGGATATTTGTGATCCATCAGGGTGCATCGTAGACTTGGCTATACTACTAATTATTATAATGGTTGTTAAGGCTTTTGTTAGCAATGTTGTTCAGGTTTTTTTACCGTAAGTTTTAGTTTAGTGGTTTTTTTTTCAAACCTATTGAAATTATTTTTAAAGGAAAATCACAAAACGATTCAACCATACCATTTCAAAAGTCAAAAATCAATCTAACATTCCCCAATGGGAGGACGAGTATCTTTTAGCTAAAGCCGACCAGTTTTTTATTGTAGACGAGTACATGGATATGGGTTAGTAAAAAGGCTTATATCCATTTCACCTAAAATGAATTTTATTTTATACCTACTTAGTTATTCAATACGGATTCGTTAATTTTTTTATAATGGGATTTCCATTGGCTCCGCTGTTTGCACTATTGAATAATTTAGCCGAAATAAGAGTGGACGCAAGTAAAGTTACTAAAAGTTATAGGAGACCTGTGCCAAATAGACAAACCGGATTGGGGGCTTGGTTTGCAATTTTACAAGCTACGACTTATATAGGAGTGGTCACTAATGTAAAAAAATAAATTTGTTGATAAGATTTTATAGGAACAAAGTTTGTAGGCTTTAGTTATAGCGTTTACGAGTAACTTTATGGAGAGAACAATATATTCCTATTTGAAAGGTACACCAGGTTTATTGGGAGCTGATCTGGATGAAACTTTTTCAGGTAATATTATATTTAATAAGGAGAAAATTTTCATTACTATTTTTACTTTGTAGTGTTTGAACTTGAAGAATTTGCAATATTAAGATCGAGCAAAGCGAGCAATAGCACTCTTTGCTATTATCCAGGTCAACGCTATCCCCCTGATCACCCATTAAAATACCAACGGAGGAAAGATTTTTGGCAACATTTGGGAATTAAATTTGCTGTTGTGGTGATTTTTGAGGTAATTTGCATCACTAAATGAACTAGGTTTTTTTTAGTGCTTTCATTGTAGCACCTTGTAATCATAATAAAAGGTCTAGTAGCTTATGCCATTCCCGATGTTCCTTTTTCTGTTAAACAACAAATAGCCCATCAAGAGAAAATGACTACGAGAGCCAAAAACAAGACGATCAGCAATAAGTATATGAAAGGGCGGCCAGACTCTTTAAGAAGATACAGCAATTGAGAAAATTATCAATAATTAATATATTTTGTGTAGTAATTAAGTGGTAATTTTTAGAACATTAAATTTATAGATAAAAGATGCCAATAGAGAGGTGTTTTGCGCCAATGTTTTTAGTTTTGCTGTGCTGGACATTGACTTGGGGTCTGATGGGTTTCAGCTTTTCTCAATGAAGTTTAATTAGGTTTTGATTCAGCGAGACCCTTGTCGATACATTTCGTATTATTATGCATTCTTATCTCTAACAATACATAGTTTAAAATCAGTGGGATCAGTGAAGTAGGTAGGAAACAAAATGCTTTCTGTTGGCTTTGTGTTTACTTGTCTACCTATACAATTTTTTTTTTTTTTTTTTTTTCAATTCCGCTTAAATTTCTTCTCTCTATTTCTGATTTTTTACTTATTCCTGGCTCTTGATGAATTTGTCAAAATAAAGGAAATTCAAGAGCCAATAGAAAGAACATGAATATCCTCTTGTCTACCATTCATTTCTCAATTTTTCTAAATTTTTTCTCTATTCAGTTCTCAGTTTATTCATCTCAATTTTTGTCTATTCCCGGCTCTTTAATTTTCCTTACTTCTAAAATTTCTTTGAATAGAGACAATTCAAGATCTTGAAATAGAAACAAAATAATTTGTGTTTATTTGTCTCTTATTTTTTTCTCAATTTCTCTCAAATTTCTTCTCTCTATTCCTCATTGTTCTAGATCAAATTTTGTCTCTTTCCGGCTCTTGAATTTGTCCAATAATTAAGTCCTCGTTTCTGACATTTCTCTATTTCTCAATTTTTCCGTCTCAATTTTTATCTATTCATCCCTGCTCTCGAATTTTAATAGAGAAAATCAAGGGCTTAGAATAGAAACAAAATACCTACATTTATCCACCTCAATTTATGTGTTTATTTCGGTCACTTGAATTTGTGTAAGGCCTGGTTTATTCATCCTTAGATAAACTTGCTGGCAACTATCTGCAAGATAAATTCACCGCTCTATAATTCTATATTCTATTGGTCGGCGGATAACTGGACATAACATATTCCTCCTAATTTCGAATAGGTATGTTAGGTATCTAAAGATACGCCCCTGCCGCCATATTCTTCCTCATTTTCAATGAATGAATAGGATTTTGAATAACCAATCAGCTTGTGGTTTATTGATGTCAAACTGACCAATCAATGGAATTACAGATCAAGGATCAACTTGAGTTGTCACTCTGATAATGGTAAATTTCAATGTGGTAAACAGCGAGATTACGTTATCAGGTGGATCTAATGGAGATTTGCATTATGCTTAGGCATGATGACGTCATAAAAGTTATCGCAGCTCAAGGTTCCGTAAAGTTGATAGGTTGATAGTTCATTGGCATTATTTTGACGTCCCAAATGACGTCATGAAAGCTAGCAACCGACTCTCTCAGGGGCATTATTCTGTAAGGAACGAACCGTTCTTCGCTTGTGACGTCATTTTCGGTTTGGTAGCGCGAAAACGAAACCGAAAATGACGTCACAATCGAAGAAATTCTACCGAATCGAAAGGTTCGTTCCTTACATAGAATAAGGCCCCAGGGCCGGTTCTCGAGTTAGAACCAGCCCGGAGGTGACTCACTATTCGTCAAATTCAACCTGATGTTTATCAAAAGATGAATAAACCGGCTCTTAATAAGGAAAATTCAAGACCCTGGGATAAAAAAAAAATGATTGTCCATAATTTAAAATGACCTAGAAGGCGTTACCGAAAACACAGAACCGATTCAAGGAGAATACACATTTTTGGAGTGCTTGACGGCCTCAATTATGGTAATCGCCGCCATATTGGTGTGCCACCATTGCCGACGTCATAAATAAGTCGTCAACTGTTTAAACAGCCTACGTCAAAGCTGGTATTTTGGCGTGGGGGGGATGTGGGAGAAGGGGGTTTTGTTACACATAGGCCTTGTGAGAATAGGCCATCCTGTAGTAGTAGTGTGTATCATCCTTGGATCCGATTAGCCCGTTCACAAGGAGATGTAAATTGTCTTTTTTCGATAATGTTCATTGAGATTTAATTAGAATCAATTACGGATCGATTCTGCACTAGCTCTATCGATTCGAAATCTGTTCGGAATGTGAATTGACAGCAAAAGTTTTTTTTTAATCAAAAAAACTGTTTTTTTGGCTTTACTGATCTAGAGCGCTCCTCGTCTGGGTGGTGACGTCACAGATATCTGTGGGATTGCTCTGATAGCGATTATAATTCAAACGAGTACCTACTAATTCTAAGGGCGGGTATAATAAAACTGCTTTGAAAGTTAACTTGAAGTTAACTTTTTGAATTACATGTAATTCCGGAAGTTAACTTAAAGTAAACGAAAACCCTTTTTATAACATGCGCATGTGCAGAGTGATTCCGAACTAGTTCTGGAGTAAAACCAAAACAAAAGCTAGAATGGTCCTCTCAGTTCTTGCTCTGAAGAAGTACTTAGAATGTTGTGATTTGCAGCTTCTTTTGGTTCCTTTGGTTCAGAATTTTTATTAGAACAGTTCTCCATTATTTTTTATGCGCAAGCAGTTCTGTGCAATCTCAGAACCGTTCCAAACCAAAACAAAGTTTAATCCACAACAATCCTGAATAAGTTTTGAACTGATTCGGAACCCGTTCGGATTGTGATCTGCGAATTTGGGATTCAATTATAATTGGTTCTGGATCACTTTTGAACTAGTTTTACCGGTCTGAAGAATTCAACAAGAAACTAGTTTACAATAAAATACTAGTTAGTTCATTGACAATTTTACATTGTATTGCCAACATAGTCATTTTGACTTCTATCTTTAAAAAAAAAACACACTTTATTATTTAGATCAAACTCTTTGTTTCATCGAATTTGATGGAGTAAGAAAGAGCACTCCGTGCGAGATTTGAGAGCGTTCTATTGCTAAATTCGAGCACACCAATCTCGCTCAGAACAATTCCGTTTCAAGCCGAGCATGTGAATTCGTTTCGGATCGCTCGAAGTACTGGCTCTGGAACAGAAAAGGAAACGAAAACTCCGGAATCCAGTTTTTAGTCCTTAGAACTGGTAGGACGAGTTCAGAATCGACTCGGAACTGATTTTAGTCGAACCGTGAAATGAAAAATTTGGATCTTAGTGATCCATTCTGAACGTCAGAATTTGAACCGTGAAAAGATCCGAATCGTTTCGAAGAACTGAGTTAGCTGTAATCGAGGATCACATTCCGAATCAGTTTGGAAATTTCAATATTTCAGATTTGGGATTTGTTTAGAATTTTGGGATTCAATTAGAATCAATTCTAGATCGACTCTTCCCATTGGTTGTAAGACTTTAACAAAAGCTTATAGGTTCGAAAAATACTCAGTTTTATTCGGCTATACTCACAAAAGTCTTCGTTTCCTGTTCCCGAATTTTTTCGCAATCATATTAAAACAAGGAGAACATTCTACAACAATCCTGAAATATTTCCGGACTGGTATGGATTGTGATCTGCGTACAAAGTTATTATTCGTTTGCTTCGGAACTATTCCCATGAACAGTTTAAATTCTGTCGATTCTGGATCACAGAATAAGTTCTGTGCTCGTAGGTCAATTAGAATCAATTCCAGATCAATTATGAACTAGTTTTAGCGGTTCTAGAAATTTAACAAGGAATTAGTTTACAAGAAATTACTCTACGACAGTCCTGAATATTTGCATGAGCAGTTCAAATTATTTCGTTTTTGATCACTCAATTTCGATTTTTTAGATAGTGGGGCGGATTACGAACTCTCGATTCGAACCGAAACCGCCATAGATTTCGAACGCATTTCTATGCATTCACATGGAGTGCGTTCGAAATCCATGGCGGTTTCGGTTCGAATCGAGAGTTCGTAATCCGCCCCAGTGTTCTGTGTTAGGAATTCAATTAGAAATGGTTCTGGATCAATTCTGAACTAGTTTTAGCGGTTCTAAAAATTTGAAAAAGAATGAGTTCAATGCACCGATTCGGATTTTGATCTGCGAACAAAGTTATTAGTAAACTAAATCGGAACTGTTTCAATGAGTAGTTGAAATTGTATCATTCTCGGATCAGTCGGATCACTTAATTTTTTAGATAGAGTTTTGTGTTCGTAGGTCAATTAGATTTAGTTTCGGATCAATTCTAAACAAGCTCTACCAATTCAGAAATTCAACAAGAAATTGGTTCACAATAACATACTCTAGGACAAACTTGAATTTGTTTCGAACTGGTTCGTTCAAAAAGTGAAAATTCGGCGGAAATAATTCAGGAGGGAGGCGACATAAAAAATTACCTACCTATGTCTGTGCAGTTTTTCCTACGTGAGCCCGACTGACCCAACAGGAGCTTAATTGTAGCATTTAACTATTCTGGAATTCATTTAACGCTTTCTGAAATACACTTAACTATTCTGAAATACATTTAACTATTCGGAAATACATTTGACGCTTTCTGAAATACATTTAACTATTCTGAAATACATTTGACGCTTTCTGAAATACATTTAACTATTCTGAAATACATTTGACGCTTTCTGAACTACATTTGACTATTCTGAAATACATTTGACACCTTCTGACAATTGGAAAAGGTGTAGTTCAAATTATGTATCGATCATAAATGACCTTTTGATAAGATAGTTTCTGTGTTCAAGATAATAAAAACCAGTTCTGGATCGAACTAGTTTCAACCTGGTTCGGAACAGTTAGAGTTGTAATCTGCGAACAATATTTCCGACTCAAATATTCGTATTACCAATTCAAATTTGATTGTGTTGTTCGATTCTGGAGGGATTTTGAGCCAATTTTACCCGTTTTGAAATTTAACAAAGAACTCTAGCTCACAATAAAATACTCTACGTCAGTCCTGGACTGGAATCACGACGAGTAGAATTCTACCTTCATGACGTCACCCGCAACCTATTTATCGCGTACAGTACAGGCGATGATAATGGTTGCTAGGCAATCTGACGTCATGAAAACAGAATTCCAGTAGAATTCTACTTGTCGTGATCCCAGCCCTGTTTTGAACCGTCAAAAAAGTGGACGCGTGAAAACGGCTATTTAGTTATATTCCTTTCAAGAGTTTGGAACACTCGAGCTACTCGCTCCGGTGTTAATCGACCCCGATTTGAAAGGAAAAGATGCGTGGTGCATGGTGCAACAAACATTTCTCGAAAGGAATGAACGCATAACGCCTCGGACCTGTTCCGGAGCTCCTACGGTGTGAAAGGAATACAACTTTAGATTTTCATCATAACCTTAAAAAAAACAATTGTCAAAGTCAAATTTAAAAACAAATTATCAAAACCAGTGATCAAAACAAAACTACATTCAAAATCTGCTGTTGTTCTTTGAAATTAAAGAATAATGATGAAAAATCGCGGTTTATCGATTCTCAAACGATGTTTTTGTAGCGGCAATTCGATAAAACCGAAAATTTGCGTTGTAGGAGGGGGCCCTGCTGGTTTTTACGCAGCCCAACATTTAGCGAAGAAACTGGAAAACTCGCAAATTGATATTATGGAGCGTTTGCCAGTCCCATTTGGATTAGTCAGGTAAAAATTTTAGATAAAATTTATATATTTTTCATATGACACAGCAAAAAAAAACCAATTAAATCCATATTAGTTTCAAAGTTTCATCATAAACAAGACATAATTGGGGTCAAATTATGTTTATTTATTGACAATAATTGATTAAACCAGTTTTATAATGAATATTAATAAAGCAAAACCTTGAAATTTTCTCATCAGATTTGGTGTTGCCCCAGATCACCCAGAAGTCAAAAACGTAATTCACACATTCACAAAAACCGCTGAAAGCCCAAATGTTAATTTTTACGGAAATATAAGTTTAGGCAAAGACATTTCCTTGGAAGATTTGAAACAATTCTATCATATAATCATACTTGTAAGTAAAATTACTAATGCAAGATTCAAAAAACCTAAGACAATTTTCTTAGACTTATGGGGCAGAGCAAAATAAAAAGCTGGATATCCCAGGGGTAAATCTTAAAAACGTCCTTCCAGCAAGAAATATTGTGGGTTGGTACAATGGTGTTCCTAGTGATAAAAATTTAAATATAAACCTAAACTGTGAAACTGTTGCTATAATAGGCCAAGGAAATGTTGCTATAGATGTAGCTAGAATATTATTAACACCCATAGATGAATTAAAGGTAACAATTGTATTGCACTATATAAAATAAGCTAAACTGAAATTATTTTTATAGAAAACAGACATTACGCAACACTCTTTAAATCAATTAAGCCAATCTAAAATAAAGAAAATTGTTTTAATAGGTAGGAGAGGTCCTTTACAAGCTGCTTTTACCATAAAAGAATTAAGAGAAATGTTGAAACTCAAAAATTGCCTCACTCTATGGAAAAATGAAGATTTTGAAACTATAGAGACTCCTATTGTTGAAAAGTTAGCAAGGCCCAAAAAGAGGATAACTGAATTAATGTTAAAGTCAGTGCAAGAGCAAAAAATAATAAATAATGAAGCTAAAATATTTAATCCTGTATTTTTACGTTCACCTTTAGAGATTTTAGGAGACAATCAAGTGGAAAAAATTGTTTTAGGTGTAAATAAATTAACAGGCAATGACTTATTAACACAAACTGCTACTTTAACTGACCAAATAGAAACTCTTGATTGTGATTTAGTTATTTCAAGTATAGGTATGAATATTTATAAACAAATATAATTTAGATTTAATTGATATTGGTATTTATAGGCTACAAAAGCATTCAAGCTGATCCAAACATCCCTTTTGACCTAAATAAAGGCATAATAAAAAATACCAAAGGAAAAATCGATGCAGGGCTGTATACTTCAGGGTGGTTGGGTACTGGTCCAGTAGGAGTCATCCTCTCTACAATGTCTAATGCATTTGCAGTAACTGAACAAATAATTGAAGATATTCCTAAAGATAATCTACTCAAAAATCCCAAACCTGGTTTTGAAGGAGCCAGAAAAATTTTGGACCAGAAAAATGTGCAACTTGTTACTTGGAAAGATTGGGCAAAAATTGACAAGTATGAAATTAGTTTGGGAGAAAAAGCTGGAAAACCCAGAGAGAAAATTGTCGATATTGAACAAATGCTAAAGATTGCTAGTTCATAATAATTAGATTTTTAAGCTCAAAAGTTTTATATTTTTACACAATATTTTATTAAAAGGTTTATGGAAAATTTTTGAGTTTTATTTTATTACAAAACAAAGTCGTCTCTCTGAAAAAATTTAAAAAAATACTTATTATTAGCAAAACTGATTGCTGAAAAACATCTTACCAATCCATTATAATCCAGCACATGCTTTCTTATCTTAGAACTATCGACCCAGGTAACAAAATCTTCCAAAGTTCTTGTAACTAAAAATGCAGGATCCTTGATTAATTCAGGCCCCACCCTTACATGGCCTTGTTCAATTAATTTTGTGGCTCCTTTAATGTTTTCCGACATTTTATCTAGAACAATTTCCATGAAACAATATGAAGTTGTTGAAATAAAATCATACTTACTCCTGACCATAACTACAGGCAATCTTCTTCTGCAAAAGCAAGAGGCTGTAACTTTTTCGGCTAAACTCAAGTCCCATCTTGTAGGGATCAAACCCATGACGTATCTATTGAAAAAAATTGTTTTTAATAAGGGAATTTAATAGTTGAAAATACAATACAATTTTTCAAGTAGTTGTGCACTTGTCTCGGTTCTAAATGGGTCCTTTTGGTCAAGTTCCTTTATTTTTCTTGCCACTTCTCGTATGCTTTTGCTTAGTTTGTTGTATCTGTAATGTAAATTACATAAAATAATGATTGCAAATATAAATTTTGTGAAATTACTTGGTGTAGTCTTCGCGTTTTTGTATATGGTACTTTTTGAGCACTTTTACTTCGTGCAAGTTGTTGTCCACTTCCCAGGAAATGAAGTCTACTTTTTTCAGTAGTTTTTGTTCGTGGAATTTCAATTTACGCACCATTTTCTATCGTTTTCACGAGGAACTTAATGAAAAATAATAAAATAGTTTATAAGGAAAAGCTTTGTAAACGTAAACAAATAACATAACCTAACTTAACCATGTGCAAATGTGTCAAATGTAGGGATCAAGGATGCGTTCGAAAATTCGTTTGTTGGTGTAGTTTTTTTTGTACTTTTGCAGTGTACGATTGAAAATTGTGAACTGATTTCTACAGACCAGGCACTAAAGACTAAAGTGTGCCTTTAAAATAATCATTTTCATCATGCGCTCTTTTCTAGCTGCACGTCCTTGCAGCTCGGTGCAAGATTTTAGTGGAAGAAATCCCTACTCGCTCCACGAAATCAGTTGAATAAGTTTAACGACACCATTATTTTCAATCTCTGGGGCAGAGCATATCGTTTTATATATACTTGTTGTACTATCTGGAGAAGTTTCTAATGGTTAATGAAACAGCTGCACTAGTACGCACTTGGCTCGTATTCAAAAATGGTCAGAGCGAGTACTGGATAGAGATCAGTGTGAATTTCAGTCTAATTTGCACGAACACCAAAAACATTCGAGCTCCATGTTGGCACTTTCCAAAATTCACCGGTTGAACCGGTGCGATACTGGTTAAGTTCGCTCACCAAACCGTTCCAAAATGTACCGACTTTTTACCGGTTGAACCAGATCGTCTGTTCCAAAATTGACCGAAACGATCAGCTGCTTGAAACCGGATCCACCGGTAATTTTTGTCGGTTTTTTTTGGTTGGAAATTTTTTGACGTAGTGCATCATGCTTTGAATAGACACTATCGGCAGTCGTTCGGTAAATTGTTGCAACACAACCGTCACAACCAAACTATAACACACCAAAGCGGTCCAAAGTGATCAGAAAAATCTAGAAACCGGACTTACACCTCCTCACTTTTACCCTTTTACCGGAATTTTTTGACAGTTGCCGGTTTATTTAACCGGTCAATTTATCGGTGAAATTTGGAATGAGCTGAAAATATTAAAAAATAGTACGCTCGTCCTCTATAAGATGAAAATATTAAAAAATTGTTCGCACCTGGGGGGCTTTATTTGAAATTGATGCAACTTTGCGTACACGCAAATATGACACAAGTGACGTCATTTTCGATTGTAAAAGGTCATGTCAAACAATGATGTCAAATAAGCCGTGTGCCAATTTTCAATCCCAAATGACGTCATTTGCGTGTACGCAAAGTTGCATCAATTTCAAATAAGGCCTCCCTGGGCTGGAATCACGATAAGTAAAATTCTACTTTTATGACGTCACCCGTGACCTATTTATTGCGTACAGTACAGGCGATGATGACGGTTGCAAGGCAACCTGACGTCATGAAAGTAGAATTCTACTTATCGTGATCCCAGCCCTGGCTTCTTTCCGAAAATGCTTAGAACGAGTACAGAGCTATTTTCTCGCGTCCACTTTTTTGAAATTGGTTCAAAACAGGTTTAAAATAGTATATTCTCGTGATGAACCCATGACGTTACACAAAATAATTGGTTCAAACCGCTTCGAAATACTTTCCAATCCACGTTTTCAAACCATTTTCTCGTGCCGAGAAATTATGACGTCATTGTGAAACTGTTTTAAACCAGTTTTGAAAAATGTTTCAAAGTTTGAGACGCGAGAAGACACATTAAGGGCGGGTATTATAAAACTACTTTGAGAGTTAACTTAAAGTTAACTTCTGGAATTACATGTAATTCAAAAAGTTAACTTCAAGTTAACTCTCAAAGTAGTTTTATAATACCCGCCCTAAGATAGATATCACTGTAAATTTGATGAGATACATTCGTGCCCTATGGTGTAGTGCACTGCCCCAGAGTGTTCCAAAAAACTGATGCAAATAGAGATCAGTGTGTTCCGAAAGCAATTTTAATCCCAACGAGAGCACATCATTTGAAATCAATAACCGAACGCACTTTATTGTTTTGATTAAAATTTTTAAAAATAGAATCAAGAGTTTTCTAATAAATTCAAATATAAATTTATAATATAATTATAGTATAATATAGGGAAAAAGAAAAAAAAAAAGAGAATTCATCTTGTGAGTATGAATTTTGTTAGCATAACTATTTATTTTTACATATATACATTTATTATATAATGATTGTTACAAACACAATAACTAAAATGTTGCTCTTACATTAGGGATTTTTTTTTTAGGTGTACGACTTGAAGTGTGGTAATTTGTTCATTATCATACTTTAAGTAAGGGTGTGCTCCTTTAGTCATAGGTTGATGGTGGAGCTCTGTGAGGCTGCATTCATTGTATATGCTGGTCTGCAGAGTTTCACCAGCTAGGCCTGCACGCAGACTTTGTTGTCTCTGCAGGATATACTGTACATTGTAGTAGTGTAAGCTATTGTATGTACTCGTGTATTGATTGTTATTCACCTGGTAATAAAGAATTTGAATTTAAACTCTTTGATCCATCGAATTTGACGGAGCAAGAAAGAGCGAGATTTGCCGTGCATTCGGTATTTTAATCTGAGTTCTCCGCGCTTGAATTTACCGTTCGTCTATTTAAAAAGTGTACTTGGTGCATGCTCATTTGCGTTCGTTTATTGAAATTTTGAGCGCTCTGATACAGCGTTCAACTGCTCTCTGAGCTCGCTGGTCACGTGATTACGACTCCGCTTCAGCAAGTTCCGCTCTTTGAGCAAAATACCGAACACTGATGGCACTTCTATTGCTCAAACACGTAAATCTCGTCTAGAGCAGCGCTCCGTTTTAAGCCGAGCATGTGAATCCTTCTAGGATCGCTTTTTGATCAATTGGGTGCAGTTTTGAGGAAAAAGTCGAATGTTCGGCTGAAAATAAAACGTTGCTCTCGGCGAGATTCTCGACTCGAGCAATAGAACTCTCCGTAAATCTCGCACAAATTGCTCTTTCTTGCTCCGTCAAATTCGATGGATCGAAACAGGTACGTTCGGCTATTGATTTCAAGGCTGAGATTGGCTTTACTCGGTAAACTCCGAGCGTGCTCGAAACGATAACATCCTGTTCGTTTTAGCTCTAAGAGTGTTCTCTTTTGCGTTCGGGTTACAATCGAGCATGTACCCTTGCTCTCCTTTGGACGGACGAAAAACCAAAAAGTAATTAAAATCAAAAGAAAACAATTTTTTTGAGCAACTGTGACGAGTTTCAGGATTTTTTTCGATTTGTGTTTGGCTTAGAAATTGTTCAAGAGCGCACTCTGCGTATGAAGTCACCTTAGGAAGTCACGATATCCATGCTCATACCGTTCCGCTCCGTGGAGTGCAAACCCGAAGCCCAGTGATTAATTTTAAGGTGCTCCACACCCGTAGCTCCACACTCTGGTGCACCAAACAACTGTTGTGTCACTTGAAACGCAACCTACTTTAAAGGCCGTGTTTTCGATGCACCAATAAAATTGCAGGTGCTTTAGAAGGCAGGGGAGAGAAAAAACGAACAGTTCAGTTGCGCAAAACTCTAATGATGATGAATGCCTATAAACAGTCCGAGGCGCTCTAGAGCACCTCAGGAGTGCTTTTAAAGTGCGTCACTGGAAACCGACTCAAGGTGAGTTCGGCTTGGCAAAACGAAGTTGGAGCGGATAAAGAGCGTTTCATAGTCACGTGATCACAGAGTGAAAAATGTGAAATGGTTAAGTCGAACGCATCAGGAGCAAGGCGAGCCGCGGTCCACGAATGCCGCGGATACTTGCTACTTTTTTCTTGTATCAGCATTTTTTCAGTACAAAGGGCCCGTTTCTCAATAGCAAATCACCCCCGGGTTAAGCATAACTGCAGGGTAAACATAGCAACTGGACATGCCTACCCTGGAGTTAAAACTAACCCGGAGGTGACTCGCTATTGAGAAACCGGCCCTAAGAACGAGATTATCCCCATCACAAACCAGAGCCACTTTCTCGCGTCCACTTTTTTGAAACTGGTTCAAAACTGTTTTGAAAAAGTACATTCTCGCGATAAACCCATGACGTCACGTCAAAATTGGTTCAAACCGTTTCGAAATACAATCCAATTCACGTTTTCAAACCATTTTCTCGCGCCGAGAAATTATGACGTCATGGTGACATTAATTGAACCTTTGAAAAATGTTTTGAAACATTTGAGACGCGAGTAAACGCCTTAAGAGCATGTGTTTTTGCCTTAGGCCCGTACAGTGCGCACTGAGTGTATTTGCATCCTTTTAGGGCGGGTATTATAAAACTGCTTTGACAGTTAACTTGAAGTTAACTTTTTGAATTACATGTAATTCTAGAAGTTAACTCTCAAAGTAGTTTTATAATACCCGCCCTTAGGCCCGGTTGTACAAAGAATGGTTCAACACAAGTTCTGTTGAACCGTCGTTCAATGTTGAACGTGGTTCAGAGTTTCGAGTGTTGTACCACTGCCGGTTTACTTGAACCATCAGTTGCAATGCCCACAATAAAAAGAAGAAAGAAAATAGGCGCATCCCAACCCATAACCTATCAAATTCATTGTTTATTTTTTGTGTTTTCTTGTTTACTATTTATTTAATTTTAATTTTCATATTTTTTTACAGACAGGACAGGTCACAGATGCATAATTTCATCTTTGATAAATCACACTTGTTTCTCCAAACTGAATCTGTCCTTGAATTATTCTTTATCATTACAAATGTTCAAATGATCTGTTCGCTGTTCGATTTCTGAATATCTGTGGGGCTCGAGGAAGTACATAATTTATATGTAACATAAAATTAAGTAATTTTTAAAAATCTTCGTCATCTGTAATATCTTCCCACAGTTCCCACTCAAGATCCATTTTCAATTAAATATAAAATAACGAATATCCACTTGAAAAAAAATATATATTCAAAAGCCATGGTGATCCCTTATCAAAAAACAAACAAAACATAGGAGAGTCAGGTTAGAAAATCCCAAAAAAGACTTGAACTCCTCTTGAACGCCCAAATTCGGACGTTCAAGATCAACCTCAGTTCACACTCTGAACCGACCATGTACAACGAATTTTTTCCTTTGAACCACTAGTCAGTGTGAACTTCGGTTGAACGTCCGTTGTACAACCGGGCCTTAATCGACCTGTAGAAGAAAAAGACAGAAATAGAAAAAATTGCACTAGATCTACCAATCGAAAACGACATTAGTTTCATAAGCAGAATGGCGCGTTCCTACTCCTTATGTCCGTAGGACAGCACTTTACCTGCTCGATGCACTTTAGCCCGGTATTCATGGACGGGTGCTCGGCTCAAGCTCCGATTTTTGACAGTTGTGAGCATCGTTCCGTGTTGTTTGGAATAGCAAACAAAGCCGTACTTGAGCCAAGACGCAACCTTGAGCATCGACTATGAATACGGGCCTTATTGATACCCGAACGATGAAGAGCTTGCACTATTTGCTCTCATTGGCCTGACCCGAACGAAATCGCAACAAAACGCAGTGAAAAGTGTCAAAAGAGTTGCCAAGCCGCACTCACCTTCAGATGGTGTGCCTTCGTTTGGATTATCGGTCTCGGAGCACTCCCGCAGAGATCTGCGATGTCATCGCCTAGACCGGGAGCGCTCTAAGGACCGGAAACTAAATAATGGTCCACCGAAAAATCGGTCCTAAGAGCAGTAAAGTTGTAAATGGTACATTAAAAATTGCACGAACACTAAATGCATTCGTGTTCTATTTTGCAGTGCAATAATTGAACCTACACCTACGGAACTACCCTAGAGTATTCCAAAAATTATGTGCCAACTAGAACTAAAACACAACTGCTTTCGCAGTATCGGCATTCCAAATATCACAGAATAAGCTCAAAACTTAAAAAAAGAGAATAATATCATCACTAGTGGTTGAATTCCTTTCACACCTAGTAGGAGTTCTGGAACAGCTCCGGGGCATGATGCGCTTATTCCCTTCGAAAAGTGTTTGTTGCACCACGCATCTGTTCCTCTCAATTCGGGGGCGACTGACTAACACCGGAGCGAGTAGTTCGAGTGTTTTTTAAACTCTTGAAAGGAATACAACTTAATGCATATTGCACTTGTTCTTCTGTTCTGTGTTCGATTCTTGGCACCCCAACTATTAATACTACAATTTGGCAACACTGCTAATGAATTTTCTCCCAGTTTCCGGTTTGATACCTCCCTCCGGAATTATTTGACAGTGACAGTTCTTTTTCGTCACCATCAAGCAGTCGTCAACATGGGTGAGTGTTCTGCAGAAAGTTTTTTAGTTATTTTCCGGTAATTATGCGAATTTTATTTATTAAATTTGATTGTGTTTGATCAATTATTATTCCTTTTGCACTTTGCGACCGGAATGCAGTGCCGAAAATCAGTTTACGAGTCGAAATTTCGTTAAGCTTGGGGCGGGTGCAGTGAACTTGATCAAACTCCCTCAAAAAAAATTCATCTGCGATCATCCTGAAAAGTACAAGTTTTTTTGCCAGTTTTACTTATCGTAAATAATTATTAGAACGTAGTTTATCGTTTCAAACATTTATTTTTGGAAAATTTGTTGAAAAAAATGTTTCTTTTAAGGAAAGCCCCGTGGTTTAAGGACAGCCAGAAAACACGTTAATCACAGAAGGGACCAGCGATGGGCCGACAAGGACTACAAAAAGGCCCATTTGGGAACCAGATGGAAGGCAAATCCCTTCGGAGGTGCTTCCCACGCCAAGGGAATTGTACTTGAAAAAGTGTAAGTAATTTTTAGGTTATAAAATCAATACTCCTATATTATGCATTAAAGGCTTTAAAGATGCTTAGAACAATTTAAAGTATCTTGAGTCAATAATGCTAGATAAAAGGAGCACTGAACCATTGGGTAGTTGTTTCTATCAATTAACCACTCTGATATGTGCTCTACATGATTTGGAATTGTTTTTGGCAACTCGCAGGATTTCCTCGTGAATGGTGATATTTAACTTGCCAATCACAGGAGAATTCTGTGCGCTGCTGGAGACTCGGCAGCAATAATTGGATTATGAATGGAGAAATATTGGCAGCAGTTTTGTATATTACACATATAATATACTAATTATTATTGTTTCTCTTTGCAGCGGTGTAGAAGCCAAACAACCTAACTCTGCTATTCGTAAGTGCGTGAGGGTACAATTAATCAAAAACGGTAAAAAGATTACTGCTTTTGTACCCCGTGACGGTTGTCTCAATCATATTGAAGAAAACGATGAAGTCTTGGTTGCCGGTTTCGGTAGGAAAGGTCACGCTGTAGGAGATATTCCCGGGGTTAGGTTTAAGGTAAGATTTTTTTTTATGTTCAAAAATTATTTTTTTGGCCATTTTTTTTTATGATGATACAATTTCAGAGCCAATCCCATGAGATAACTTTGATTAAAAACGATTTAAGAATGTCTGAAAAAATTATTGGAAATATTAATTTTATTTGTGGATAATTAGGCAGATTTTTAATTTTTTTTTTTTATTTTTCCAGGTGGTTAAAGTAGCCAATGTGTCCCTATTAGCCTTGTACAAAGAAAAGAAGGAGAGGCCAAGATCTTAGGTTATTAAGTTTTTTTTTTTATTATAAACTTGTGTTTGAAATAAAAATGCAAGTTTAAAGAAAAGGTGTTTTATTTAATTTTTTCAATTAGTTGTGATTATTTTTGTAATAAATTTGTTTTCAATTTGAAGGTGCCTTATTTAAACAGTGGCGTAGCCAGGCGTAGGCGACTGCCGATTGCCTCACGTCTTAATGAGCCTTGCAAAAAATAGGTTACCCAACCTAAAAATTGACACTTTTCGATTTAACAAAATAAGCTTAATCCTATGTTTATGTGAAGAGTATTTTTTATAAAGGGTGTTTCAGAATATATGAACAATCTCTCGGAGTCGGATAGAATACAAAAAAACCAGATGTCAAATTTTTGACATAATGCTTGCTAGACAAATAACTACCTAATTAATGATTGTCATTGTCATTAATTATTGTCATTTCAAACCATGAATTCATTTTAATAGATCTTGAGGTTTTTTCAGGTTTTAATGTCCCAATGAAACCTATTGAGATTTTTTTTTTTTTGTATTATATAAAGCAAAATGAGCTCTAACCAATCAATAAAAAAAAAGATGGCGTTCCCATTTAAAAAAAAGATCAATAACGTCATATCTTGAAGAGGAATTATTTTTTTTCCTATATCTCTGCGTAACTTTTCCCTACGCGTCTTCTTATACCTTTTCCAAAATTTCATCAAATTCCATGGAGCCGTTTTCTCAGAAAAATGCCAACACACAGACGGAAATGTGCCACCTTGTCAAAAAGGCTTAAAATGATCCAAAACGTCAAGATCTAATGAAATTTTGACATGGTCAAAATCGGGCTATCACCATAGCTTCCTATCTAGGAAGCTAATAACATGACAACTTCCTATTAAAAAATAGTTATTCATGTACCAAGGCTTGTAAGTACACGCTACAAGTCGAGGTGCATATGATATTTTTTGTGCTACTGTACATTCAAGATAACAAATATCATGAATTTGCTTTGTTCGCGAAGATGTTCCCAAACTGATCCTGAACGCTAAGGAAAGAATCACATCATGAAAAGCCATTGATATGAAACAATATTAATGGCTTTTTATGGTGTGATTCTTACCTTAGCGTTCAGGGTTAGTTTGGGATCGTCTTCGCAAATATAACTATTTATATTATTACCTATCTGTTTCTGCTAATTTAAACTTTTTGACGTATAGGTATTTTCCATTTGTTTCAATAAAATTGTATCCTTAATTTGTTTTGGGTTTTCTATTTGGGAAGTCGAGTTTTTTTGTGACATTATTTTGACAGACATATGAACCAAACAATTTTCACCTTTCATATCAACACTTTTTTGACCCGGTCAAAAAAGTAGCTTTTTTGGCCCGGTCAAAAAAGTAACTTTTTTGGCCCGGACTGTAAGTGACACTTACAGTTCATGGACGTAGGTCAAAAAAGTCAACTTACAGAATGGGTAGCACAAAAAAAATCTTACGCCTCTGAAAATCGTTTATTTGTTGATAATTTTCAAAATACCACGTCTTATTATTTTTTTTTTGAATAGGTTGAAAGTACCTGTTAGCCGGCCACCCCCTGTTGTCGGACACTTTATGACAAAATATCCAATAAATAGGAAAATATTATATCAAACCTCTTTTTAGAGTAATACCTACTTTCAAACACTATTTCCCCACCAGTTTCTGCAATACCGCCCTCTTTACGGGCCTAGACCAAATTAAGAAAAATAATAATATATCTGCTGTTTTTCTCAACACAGCCCTTTTGATCAAGTGAAAAAGTTTGCTAGTGTGAAGCTAAGAAGGAAATAGTAAGTAAAAATGTTCCTACTCCATTTTTCGATATTTTGTTGATGTTTTTAAGCTATAAACGTGTAATCTACGATTATAACCATAAAAATTAAATGAATATTATTATTTTCTTAATTTTATTAAATGTCCGGATAACCGGTCCTATAAATCGGCAGATTCCTCTTCTCGGCCACTCTGTCCGACAATGGGTCCGGCACGTTGAAACTATATGTATCTTTTTCTAGCCTATTTGATTTTCAACTTAATTTTCCTTATTAGATACATTAGAAGACTGTATCGAGATTCTATGGACCAGTTTGCGGACACTATAAACCACAAAGGCGTCAAATTGTAGTATACCTGAAAAGGTGTCCGAGAAAAGGTAGGTGTAAAGTTCTCGGACATTTTACATTACTTATATGGGTATGGGGTAGTGCTTTCTGCTTTCATTTTAATAAAAAAGTGTTACAAGTGTACAGAGAATAAATCTGATAAAAGTATTTATGAAATAGAAATTGAAGAAGCAATGGAAAAATCTCCTAAAGATCAAAGTGATTTTCCTGGAACTGAGAACCCTGATAAAACAACAGACATAGGACTGGAGGCTCGAAAAAACTCCCATTAAACTGCCAAATGTTGCCGTTGCTGTAAGTCCTTTCAGTCGCCACCTCCAATTTCCGGAACCTATCAAATTAGAGCCAAGAATACAAAAAAAAGGGAATTTACCAAGTGCCATCTCATTGATGGCAGCGGAGATCATATTATGGAAGAAAGGAATGAGAAAAAAAAAAAAAAAAAAACTTGATGTACAAAAAAATAAACAAGAGGACTAGAGAAACAAAATACCAAAAAAAGTGCAAACAATGATGGAAGAAAATAAAAATTCCAAAATAAAATATTGGTTGTGAGAAGTGCCCAAACTGGTACTATTTAGCATCTACTAGTTTATGTGGACGAGAAAACGTATTTCTCGGACACGTGTCCGACAACGGGTCCCTTTTGTGTCCGAGAAATGTAATGATTGTCCGCCAACCGGCAAAATGCACGTTTTTTGAATAAAGCATTTTTCTACAAAAATGCAAAACCTTTTAAACTTTTTTTGTTGCAGGAATCAATTTTATATACTATAAGGTATCATAAAACATTATTTAAATTCGATTCGCTCTATCCACTAATTTTCAATCTCCATTTTATTCCAGAATTTGCCTTAAGTGGCCGACAACAGGTACTTTCACCCTATGACGGATTAGTATCCATCTTATCTAGTGATAAGACCCCTCAAAATGGACCCTTTCTTTAATTGGCTTCAGTTAAAGCCCATTATATTTTCTACAAATTTCCTGTGAATGATTTCAATGCAGCTTCAATAGTTTTGCAGCTGCAAAGCTTCAAATTCTTTTGACTATGATTTTTATCAGGAAAATGACACTAACATACATTTTGTTCCATAACTTTGTTAACTTCAATCCGATCTTAACGTAATTAGGCTTCAATTGAAGCCAATTAAATTCTCTACAGATGAATAATTTCAATCCAGCTTCAATAATTATGCAGCTGCAAAGCTGTCTATTCAAATGTAATTAGGCTCAAAACTCATAAATAAAAACCAAGTCAATAACCCGTTATAGACAAAAGTTGAAATAAAATAAGGCGGTGAATTTCAAATGTCCAATTTTGAAGTCTGGAAACTCGTGTAAAAGTCCCTTTAATTACTCAAAAAACTCTATAAATTATGGAAACAAATTTTCTAAACTTGCATTTTGTCTCTGGATCAAAGCTGGAAGTTGTTCTGAGATATTTCTTTCTCAAAAAATGAACTCAAACTCAGGGCCGCCGCTACCATGTGTGCAATGTGTTCAAAACACACAGGCGGCCGATTAAAAAAAAGGGTTGCTGCCGAGACCTATCTATTTTTACCTGTATGCGCGCGCAACACGAGGCAATGCATTTTTATTGGCTAACTAGTACAGGTGTGAAGTAATCCTTTTGCTCGCTGGGTATCTCCTTGTCTTTGTTCATTGCCCGTGGTCTGACAAGAATAAAATTATGCTTGATATTCAACGTGACGTAGCTTGACAAGTGATCCATTTTCAATTGTTTGTGTTTTTGATTGACAAATACGTTGGACATCACGCGGTTTTCTTCCTTCCTTTTTTATCCCGCGCAAATAATAAGAACGGATTGCTATACGTAAGTCTAACATAATTTGGTCAGAGGCGCCGACTTTTGAAATTCCTCATGGGTGCAGAATAATAACTTCATGAATTTATGTATAGGGGGAGGCGGAAGCTCGCCGCAGGCGCCGCCGGTAGCGAAAATTTTTTTTTCACGAGTATGCGAAAAGTGTTTTATTCTGCACGCATTTTAGGCCATGAAAATCTTACTTATCTGCACTAGTGCGGAAAAGTAAAATAATTATGCAATATTAAGTCACCCGCTTGGTTGGGGAAAGCGGGGCAGAACAGGGTACTCAACGTTTGATGCTCAATTGTCACTACAAAATTAGCAAGATAAGTATTTTTTTTGCTATAGGTGTATTACTCAACATAAGTAGGTATGTAAATTAAGCTTTTTCACCATTTTTTACAGTTAACGTGTCAAATCACGTGACATCTGTCAAATTTTGGTCATTTTGCTCGCAGATGCAATTACCGAACCCAGCCAACGGCCGCAACTGCTGCGTTCATGGAGTCGATACTCTCTTCCTGACGCTTTGTCTTCCGAACATAACTTCTAACCGAGCTTCTAACTAACCATCTGAAAAAATACTAAATCGACAATAAACGGGACAGAAAAGAACGCAGTAACCCATTGTACCCCACCCCATTCCGCCCCATGTGCAATATTTACTTGTAAAGTAAAATTCTTGGAAAAAAACATAAACTAGAGTAAAGCTAAGTTATAAAAATGTTACTTAATAAAAGCTCTTTGCATAACATAATTGAATAAGATTGAAATTAAAAATGCAAATTACTTACGGTGGTAAATATGGAGTTTGTTGTTTAGGAGACTTAAGCCTTGCTTGACGTTTTTCGGACAACTGACGTATCTACATGTATTTGATGCGTCTTGGTGAGATTCAGTGCAAATTTGGATGTTTCCGGACTCCGGACGCATGTTCGCTTTTTAATGACGGTATTCCGTTCTACCCTGCTACCCCGTCCTGCCCCGCATTCCCCTACTTTCATGTTCTGAAATGCGTGCGGAAAAGTACGGTCGTAAAAAAATAACGTTCCTCAATCATGCGGAAAGTATCCCTACCCACGCGAAAAATTAAATTATATGGCATACGGCGCAAGCGTCAAACTTCCTGTTGTTGGCCGGACTATCACGATTGTTATCAGAAAATAGAGATGGAGAATAGCAACATAAAGTAAAAGAGCATAGAACTGATCACAAATAACGAAAAGACATAATACTAATACCACTTGTATAATTCTTATACAAAGTTGTAAATTTAAATTACATGATACTGATATTACCACCCTGAAGGGAATGACCATTGAACACGTTTGTCCTTCGCATTCCCCACTAGAGCTCCCATGGGTGCTCCGCACCCATGAGAAGTTGCTCATGGGTGCACCTGCACCGATGCCCCCATGTAGTCGGCGCCAGTGAACGTTTTGCCTCGTCTTGCGCAATAAGCGTTCTGCGTCTTTTTCTATCTAATAAAGTTTTCGTATTATTACCTCTTTGTCTGGTAAAATAGATAGGTCTATTCCCCAAGTTGAAAATTTAGTAAAGTCCAACAAATACCATTTTAAAGTCACGTGATTTTTCTCTATCCTTGTTGAATACATCTCAAACAGCGGTGATAGTAAAATTGACAAAAAAATTGGTGTCTAATTATTGTTCATAAAATTCTTACCTGAAATAGAATCCGTCACTGTCATCAATTAGTTTGTCAAAGTTATTTTCGAAAATGATACAACGAACAAACACAGCTACTAATAATTTTGACTATATTACCCTTCTTCCAACTCGAAAAGAAGCAAATAGAAAACGGGTACCCAATTCAAGTTCAGAATGTATTACAAGGGGCAGCAGAAGCGACAAAAGTGAGCCTCGCAACAATTGCAAGTATTAAAATTCCCATCTGATTGGTCAATACTACTTCAGAAACAGTGGCGTAGCCAAACCAAACGTGGCCGTCGGCGACATCCGAATTGCGAGGCCCTTTTTATGGTAGGGTGACAGTGGCGGATCCACGAGGAGGGGGGGGGAGTGATGAGGGTAATCTACTCCCCCAGAAAGGCCCAAGAAAATTTTAATTATTAAAAAAACACACAAATAATTTTTTTGGAGGCTTAAAATACGTTTTGAAGGAGAGAATTTTTTGAGAGTCATGCCACTTTTTCGGGCCTATCAACGGTATTCGATAACAATATTAAGTTAAAAATATCAATATTTTTCCGCTAACAAATCCTTCAAACAAAAAATAAATTTCTCATTCGTTACAGTATTACCACAGCATCACACAAACATAAACCGACAATTTTTGGTAGAAATCAGGCATTTTTTTAGGAAACCTATAGTTATTTACATTCCAAGCTGCGAAAGCGTACTTTTAGGTGCAAGGAGTATTCAAATAGCCGAAGCGAAGCAAAGCGCAGCCGAGATTATTTGAATACCTCCGAGCACCTGAAAGGGCTTTTGCAGCGTGTAATGTATTAAACTTTTCATTCTTCCCCTTCAAAAATCGTGAATTTCCGAATCTCTGCATGTTAGCAAATTCGTTGTACAAAATCAAATGCTGGACGGACTTTCAAAATGCTGTAGAATGTACAATACAGCGAAATACTGTACGAATTCTATGATATTAAAAGAAGTTTCGTATAGGATTAAGTTTATTCAACGTTTCATTTTGGGAACTTGAAAAGTGCCAATTTTCAAGTTCGGTAACCTATATTTTGCGAGGCCCCTTAGGGCGCGAGGCCGTCGGCGGTCGCCGACGCCTAGCTACGCCACTTTTCAGAAACGCGTTTGTAAAATGCTAGTGGGAACATATCTTAAAATTCAATAGTAATTAACCACCAGTAGCTTTTTGTAGGTGATATCAACGACATAATCATTGAACATACGATTTTTGCCACCAATATCACGTGACTTTAAAATGGTATTTGTCGGACTTTAACTATGTTGGCAACACAAGCCTTTTCTACATAAAAAATTTGAAAGCATTGACAATTTTACATTGTATTGCCAACATAATGTCATTTTGACTTTTATCTTTAAAAAAAAAAACAGACTTTACTACTTTTAGACTTAGCGTATGAGTCGGGGTAAAAACGAAGGACCACGCAAAAGGGAGACGCGTATCTGTAGTGACGTCACAAGGGTATCGGCGATTGACAATAATAGGTAATCCTCCTTGTTTATAAATCCTTGGTTTGTGTTAATCGTTCGTCGGCCTTCATTGTCATTATTAGCTGTTTTTTTTTCGTCTCTCTACGTTATATCTTTCTTCTTTCTCGTGTAACGAAATTTCCCAAAACGTGACGTTGAGTGACGCGTCCTTCAAATCACTCTCCATTTTCGACAAAATATACCGCCGCCTAAAGAAAATTCACTTCAAAATAAATCATAGGTATAGTCCGACAAATACCATTTTAAAGTCACGTGATACTGGTGGCAAAAAACGTATGTCCATTGATTATGTCGTTGATGTCACCCTTGGATTTCACCTACAAAAAGCTACTGGTGGTTAATTACTATTGAATTTTAATATATGTTCCCACTAGCATTTTACAAACGCGTTTCTGAAGTAGTATTGACCAATCAGAGGGCAATTTTAATACTTGCAATTGTTGCGAGACTCACTTTTGTCGCATCTGCTGTCTGTTGTAATACATTCTGAACTTAAACTGGGTACCCGTTTTCTATTTGCTTCTTTTCGAGTTGGAAAAAGGTTAATATAGTCAAAATTATTAGCTGTGTTTGTTCGTTGTATTATTTTCGAAAATAACTTTGACAAACTAATTGATGATAGTGACGGATTCTATTTCAGGTAAGAATATTATGAACAATAATTAGACAGCAATTTTTTTGTCAATTTTACTATCACCGCTGTTTGAGATGTATTCAACAAGGATAGAGAAAAATCACGTGACTTTAAAATGGTATTTGTTGGACTATAGCCATCGACTTTCATCGAAAATAAATATCTCAAACAAATAAACCATCAAGCTTTAAACGAAAATAAACCGAAAGTATTTTTTCACAAATTTTATAAAGTATGTACATCCCTAACTAATATCATAATACAAGCAAATAAACACTTGAGTTTTCAAATTTTATTCTTATTGGGATATCAAATGCAAATGTCGGTGAAAGACGCACTCGGACATTACAGCGGAACAAACTAATAAGGTTTAATGGAGTCACCCCTACAGTAAAAAGCATTACCCGAACCTTAACCCGAACGACTGGAGTGCGAATGGAGTCACTCGGAGTGAGCAAGCCGAACCCACCTAAAGTTATCAGGCAACAGGCAACCTACCTGTCTCACAAACAGCCCTGGTTGTGGCTTTAGCTACCAGCCAACGTCGCTTCAAACTAACTACTGTCACAGATGACAATTGTCAAATCGCTGTCAGCCTCCCTTCTTGCCCCAACGGCCATATTGTTTACTCAGCATTTAAATATTTAAAAGCCCTTGATGTAGTGGGGATATCGTTGATGAGCTTCTGAATGAACTTTTCCTCGCCCCATTATCAAACGCACTGCATTTCCATAAAGGGGCTTATCAAGTAGGTGCCAGAAAAGTCGTAGAAAGTCGTTCGTTTAGTACAGTGTTTACAGTGTAGATATACCATTCTACAAAAAATAGTGTTTTTTTTTTATTTGGAGTGAACCTATATTTTTACATTATTCATAGAAATTCTATCTAGATTTTATTCAAATGACATGCATCAAACCTGCATTAATTGTCAGTCGTAAATCATTGATAATGGTATTTACATAAAGTGCAAGCCCTATATACCCTCATTTTTACATTTTATTTATACGATTCTACATCAAAAAATGTCCTTCGAAAACACCGAGGGCCACGTCCTACGCCAAACCAAATTGAAAGTGGCCAGGAACTTATTCGACGCTGTCCGTTCGCCCCCCGTTGGAAACTACGATCGATTTATACCTTGCAGGACTAACAACAATTGGGAAACTAGTTTTGCTACGATGCCCGATCCGAATAAGACTCCGCTCAGTGGGAAAAAGAATAATAGGGATAGTGGAGAGAATGCAAGAGACTCTTCTGTTTACAATATACTTTTGAGGAACGAAATTTTGGGCGAGAAGATTGAGGATGTGAAGAGCCAGTGTGACGACAGGCAAGCTTTGACTCCGATCAAGAGCAGGAATTTGTTTAGATATGGAACTCCTTCAAAGGTAAGAATTTTTATTGTAGAAATCTAGAAATTGTTTTATTGTCATAGGCAAGGACCTGGAATTTCCCAATTACTCAATTTTTGTTCTTAAAACACCAATGTTCAATACTCTGTTGAATACATTAAAATTTAACAAATTGAGAAGTTATGTCTACTTTATAGTTTAACTTTTATGTACAGATTTTTCATTGCTGCTTTTGAATTTTCGAGTGAGTTTCTCTTCTATATCTTACATTGGTGGTAAAGTAGGTATTATAATTTTTAAAGGGGAAATCCATTTACCTAATTTTCTTCACAAAAATTCTATATAGAATGAACATGCTGTTGAGCCTGCACAATAGGTAAATATCGAGGTAAATACAATATGAATTCTAAAAATTCTATCAGTTTGTAGTTGTACCTCGACCTCAGTTTGTTCGTACAACAAAATGCTAAGGTAGTTTCCTCCACAATAATATTGTTATAAATTGAATAATTAAACATTTAAGTGTTTATTATTAAATCCCTGGAAATATTCAGTTGAACTTTGCCCTAAGAAATTGCCTAGTTCAAGCTTAAGTTTTATTTGCTACTTGCGATCATTGAAATGCAAATATTTGCTCTACAGGTTGGTCTTCAATCTCAATTCCTCCATTTGTCCTAAACAGGCAAAATTTAATTTTCTGTTTTTCCTCAGTAGTGCCATTTTGCAAAGAATCTCCTTATATTAGAGGGATACAGAATTTAAAAATCCACAATATCAGACTTCCAACAAAACAATTAAAGGTTGCATTATATTAATAATAATTACCTAATAATATATTTGATTATCTTGAAACCCGAGTTTAAACCCTTTAAAACTGTCAGATTATTTTGACCTCAATTTTTGTAATAACTAGAGCAGGATGATGTTTTACATGAACTATAAATAAGCCCAAATGAGCTGTAATTTTCAAGGATTGAAATTTTGTATTTAAATGATCATTTGGGATACCCCTCGGGATACCCTAAACTTCATACACTAAATTCTAAGATTTGAAGCTTAAATCTTTGAAAAAAGGACGTCAAAAACCCAAAAATTCATCACAATTCCTTGACCCGATTTTTTCTCAGGAACTATAGGTCCAAATGAGTTGAAATTTGGCAGGATTTGTAGTCCTCTACTTGGATAAGAATCGCTGCAAATTTCAGCTTTCTATCTATGATAAAAAAAAAAGTTATGATTATTGAAAGTTTTCAGAAATTTAAATCCAATGGGGGTCTTCCTTTCAAAATGTTAAAATTTCATATTTTTTTGTGTTGAGATTTTGACGATCATTTGGAGCCCCAGAAACTCCATACAGTGATTTATTGTGGGGATTTGAAGCCGAAATATATTGGAGAAGGACCTCAGAAAAAAGTCAAAAACCCAAAAATTCACCCCAAATTCCTTCTTAACGCGATTTTTTCACAGGATCTATCAGTCATAATGAACTGAAGAGAATCCCTGAAAATTTCAGCTTTCTATCTATGTTAGAAGAAAAGTTATGATTAGTCAAAGCGAGAGTCAAAGTTTTTAAAAATCCAACTCAAAAGGTATCGGGTCTTCAAAAAAAAAACCAATCAAAGATTGCTATGGTTTTTTAAACGTATGTCTTAGCACTATTTTCTATTAATTTTGACAATTTTGACCAAAGCAATCTTTGATTGGTTTTTTTTTTGAAGACCCGATATATTTTCTCAATTTTTCTACATTTCTGATCGATTTAATTATCAGTTTTCCTGTCTCAATTTTTGTTTATTCCCTTGAATTTCTCTTTTCCTCAATTTCTTTCAAATAAAGAGAATTCAAGAGCCTGGAATAGAGAAAATATTGAAATTTTCACTTCTAAACCAATTTCTTCTCAATTTTTCCTCAATTTTCTCTTTCCATTTCTCAATCATTTTTTTTCTTTCATTTTTTCCGTCTTAATTTTTTGTCTATTCCCGGCTCTTGAATTCCGTTTTCTCTCAATGTCTTTAAAATAAAGAAAATTCAAGAGCCTGGAATAAAGAAAATATTATTTTTCTATTTATTTATTGGTTCTTCTTACAAACACCATATATATAAATCCTTTATTTAGTCAAGACTAATTTACAGTTATACAGTTACAGTTATCAATTGAAATTCCACTAAAGCTAATTTATAATTTAATTAAAAAACAATTTAAAATCTACAGTCAATAACACAATGATAAAAAATTATTTAAAAAAAAACGTACACTGATACAATACAAGTGACACATACTACTTACTTATAAGTTAACATCACTTAGCATATAATCTTTGAGAACTTTTTTAAAAGAATTCACTGTTTTCATAGACTTAACATTATTTGGCAGATCATTATACCTACTCAAGCCCTTAAAATATAATGAGTTTTGCGACCTTTCCTGATCTACCCTTGGGATATAAAAATTTTCTCTGTGGCGCGTATGATATTGATGCACTTCAGAAGCATACATAATTTTGCCTAACAAATATTGCGGAGCTTGACCAATTTTTATTTTATGAATGAATGTTAGGGTGTTAAACAGAAGAAGCTCCCGCACTGGCAGCCATTGAAGTTCTTTTAACATATCCTTTATTGGTGTTAACCTTGGTTTTTTGAGTATCACCCTCATACTTCTGTTTTGCAATTTCTGCAATCTTGAGAGCTCATTTTGTCTGAAGAGAAACAAAATACTAGAACAATAATGGAAATGTGGAAGTATTAATACATTAAATATAGTTTTTTTAGTCCAAGTAGACAAGTATGGAGAGCAGCGAGATAAATAATTTACTTTAAAAGCGATTTTTTTAATTATTTCTAATGCATAACTTTTAAAATCTAGTTTATGGTCAATTCAAATTCCTAAGTATTTAATTTTTGTTACCATTTCAATAGTGTCGCTGCCCAACAATAATTTGCAGTCCATAGCCAATAGCTGTTTGTAAATGGATTCCCTTGCAATAATCATGTACTTTGTTTTAGAAATATTGACCTTCAAATCATTAACATTACACCACTGATACACATCATCCAATATTTGATTAAGTGATGTCTCAAGTTGGCCCAGATCTTTTGTGGAATAATAGAATAAGGCATCGTCAGCAAAAAGATATGTGGTACAATTTTTTACGTTTTTAATTATGTCATTAATATATATAATAAATAGCAAAGGCCCCAGCACGCTCCCCTGAGGGACGCCAAAATCATTAGATATATCTTCTGATAATATGTCATTGACTTTTAGTCTTTGTTTACGGTCACTCAAGTAGCTCACAAACCATTTTAAAACTACTCCCCTAATACCAATGCTTTTTAGCTTTAATATTAACCTTGTCTTGTTTACAGTTTCAAATGCCCTTCGTAAGTCAAGAAAAATGGCACCAGTTGCTAAGTTTTTGTCAATATTTTGCCTCCAGTCTTCCAAGATACCCTGCACAGCAGTTTCGCAACTAAATTTTACTCGAAATCCTGATTGAAAATCACTTAGTATTTTATTCCGATCTATATACTCAACAAGTTGCATATACACCATTTTTTCCAAAATTTTGTCAATAGTGCAAAGCAAATTTATTGGACGCAATTCATTGGCAGATTTTAATTTAATTACTTTGGGGATCGGGATTATAGTGGAAACTTTTAACATATCAGGAACCTGACCTAATTCTAGCGAAGAATTAACTAAATTTAAAAGTGGATTCTTTATAATCTCAAAAGTATTTTTGAGTAAATTGATGTTAATATCATCTGGACTTGATTTATTAGCCATTCCAAAAATAATATCTTTCAACCCTTCAAAATCCAACATACTAAAATCTGAAAAATTAACCAAATCGTCATGGTGAGCCAATGGAAAATCTCCAAGATCAGACTTATCTATATCCCGAAGTATATCTTTAATACTATCAACAAAAAAAATATTCAGTTTATTAGGTAACTCCTCTTTATCACTAATTAAGGTATTATTTATTTCTACCTCATCAATTTTAGCCACTGTTCTTTTTGAAGGTAATAAAGTTTCCAAAGTTTTCCACATTTCTGTGGGATTATTTTTATTTTGACATATTTTTTCTTCATAGAACTTACGTTTCTCTTCTCTAAACACTTGAACTGCAAAATTTCTTTTTTGCTTATATTCATTTAAGTTTTCATCTGTTTTATTATTTTTATAAGTCCTATAACTAAAATCACGTTCTCGCATCGCCATCTCAACCCTATTGTTCCACCATTTTTTATATTTAGGAAAAATTTTTACGGTTTTTATTGGAGCAACTAAATTTAAAATTTCCAGAACAGTTGACACAAAACTGCTAAACTTATGATTTATTTCAGAATGATAGTACCTGAACTCACAATTGCGCAACATTTGGTTGATACTCAAAAAATCAATATTGCCACCTCTAGTATCAACAGTCTTAGCCACTTTAGGACTCACATTGTGTAATATTTCAATCATGTAATGATCAGTAATTTTTGGGGTAATAATAACATTAGCTTTAAACAACTTATCAGAGTTCGTTAGCACCAAATCTATGATTGAGTCTTTATCTCTACCAGAGCGAGTTGTAGCAAAAACAATATTTTTAAGACCTATATCTACAAGAATTTCTTTTAAAGCTTTTGACTCATCCGTTCTGTAATCGATGTTAAAGTCGCCTACAACTAAAATGACACAATTTTCATCAATCAAATTTTCTTCGCACCATGCTTGAAAAAAAAGCTCAAAATCCCGTTTAGATGAACTTGGAGATCTGTACAGAGATACCAAAAGATATTTTTTCTTATTGTAAAAGATGTATGTGTAAACCAACCAATAATTTTTATGTTTAAATGTCTGTTGTGATTTTAAAATTTTAACATCATCTCTTATGTATAAAATCGCCCCACCTGTACTTCTACTATTACTATCTACTCTCTCCAAGCTATAACCATCAATATGAACCTCCCCATCCAGAATTTTTTCTGTTAAGCAAGTTTCAGACAATGCTATAACTACTGGTGATCTACTTAAAGCT